TATTTCACTTAACATCTTTTCTATCACATCTACATTTTATTACCTATTCATTCTTTACCATAACCATTCTAAAATCATTGGGGCATGACAGGCTTCAATAGACCTATTCATACCACTTGTTACATATGAAAAGGAAACAAGCAAGATAAGAATGCAAGAGTGAGGGTTAACAGATCTTATTCCTGAGTTCAGGAAAACAGTCGTAACAAATGTCCTTAATGGTAATCGTATTACTTTGGAACAGACTTTTTGTCTTGGGATGTGCTTCTACAATTAACACAGACCTTGTAAACTGATAGGCGTATTTCAATTAGCACAGACTCAGCAGGCTGAGAGGCATATTTCTTTCTAATGGTCAGGCCAAATCCAGGGTCCGTTCTGGGCCAGTCTTTCTCATACTTTCCCATAACAGAAATGTATTAATTATTACTTTTATTCAACAAATGGAAAATGCCTTTTTGACCAAAATAAAAATTTAATTAAAAATAATTTTGATTGATTTTTTCCCCATTTTCCAATGAAAATATTTTAAATGAAAAATTCCACCCACTGTCCCCCTACCCTCCCACCCCCAAAATTGTGTTTTGTTTCTGGAGAGAAATAAATATTCTCTCACACTTTCACTTCCTCCTCCCCATTTTTCCGGGGAGAAGTAAAAAATGTGTGAGAAAATGGTTTATTATGCACTGAAACAAAACACACTTTTTTGGGGGGGGAATGGAATTTTTAATTTTAATGTTTTAATTGAAAAATATTTTTTTGACCAACGGAATTTTTTGAATGAAGTGAAACATTTTCATGTTTCAATTTTTTCATGAAATATACTAACCTTGTTTCGACTAGCTTAGCTTCTCCTACATAACCCTTCACATATGGTACAGAGCTTAGTCATCATTCTGTTGTAGGGAGAAAACCTTACTCAACCCTATTTACCTTCCCAGTATTATTCAGGGACTTTAAACTTTAGCTACAGGCCAGAGATCAACTTTTTGCTCATGATCCTGAACATATGGGTGTCAGACCGTCTGTTATGAAAGAGATATGTAATAGCTCACTTGTTATGGGTTGTTGAAGTAGTTCTCCAAGGAGAAACCATAGGCAGTATGGATTCAATTCAGGTGACTACCCCATGAGTTGTCAGCGGGGACACATGGGAGGGACCCATTCTTATCTCTGGAGGCTGGCCCCAGAGGAGGGAGTGTGGAGGTAGCCGGATTTTCCAGGTTCCAAACACAGGGGCAATGGGCTGCAACAAGGCTGTGGGTTAAGCAGTTGAAGTGAGCAAGCAGGCGTCTCTGTGTCCCTGGAGAGAAACAAAGGCAAAAATGGCAGCTCCTTGTTGGGAGTGGGTTTGGAGTGATTTCAAAGGGCATAGAATCTGTCGCCCAAAACCAAACTCAGTTGTCAAGACAGACTCAATTTCTTTCATGTACAGTAAATATAGGGTTACCATATTTAAAGTGTCCAAAAAGAGGACACTCCACGGGGCCCCGGCCCCGCACCAACTCCGCCCCCAGCCCCGCCCCTTCCCTGCCCCCTGCCCCAGCCCTGCCTCTTCCCGGCCCCGCCCCAACTCCGCCCCCTCCCCTGAACGCTTCACCCCCTGCCCCTCCCCCTCCCCTGCTTCCCGCGAACATTTGGGGCGCGAGGAGGCGCAGCCCAGTCCGGCCCCCCCGGCTGAGCGGCTCCCTCTGGCGGCCGGCCGGCCCAGGCCAAGAGGCTCTGGCCCCGGCGTCTCCCGCCCGGCTCGGCTCGGGCCCTGAGGCGCCGGCCCCGGCCCCGGCCCCCGGCCAAGCACCGCTGGCCCCGGCCCCTGGCCCCGCACCGCCGGCCCCGTGGCCCCGGCCCCGCACCGCCGGCCCCCGGCCGAGCACCGCCGGCCCCTGCCTCCCTATTTTCCCGGACATGTCCGGCTTTTTGGGATTTCCTCCCGGGCGGGGATTTGAGGCCCAAAAAGCCGGACATGTCCGGGAAAATCCGGATGTATGGTAACCCTAAGTAAATAGGGTCTTCCCTCTAGGCAGAAGAGAATAATAGAGGGTAAGGCTGCAGAGTGAGCACTGGTGATGGAACTTGAGCAAATATTCCCAGACTTTCTGGCACTTTAGTTTTATGAATTGCCTTCTAAACTCCTGACATTGAAACTTTTAACTCTTCAAGCTTAACTGCACATTTCTTGACTTTCAAACTTTTTTTTGAATGACATTTTAATATCATTGTAAATTAATGGTCTGTTTGCAACCTTAGTGTTATTTTATCAAAGTTTGTTGCTTGGGCTTAGTAAATTAGATGTGTCCAATTTATATGTAAATCAGTGCATATCACTAGCTCACATTCACAATGTAAAGTAGGTAAATTTCATTTTTCATGCTTGGTACATCACTAAAATCCCAAACACTATGCTCTGCCATCCATGCATCAAATTGCATGAATTTGCAGCACAAACTATTTGCTCTTGCTGGAATTTGACCCCACATAGCACCCCTGCCTAACTCTGAAGTTGGAGAAAGAGACTTTTTTTGCATTTATTTAAGCTTTGGGATGCTGCCCTACAAATTGACAAGTATTGTAAACCAGGGATTGCTGAGGGCATGGGAGCCAGATATCCAGAACACAGAAATGAAGAGTCCAGATTCTCCGACTCCTCCATCTGCCTGCCTTCTGCTGCACTCTTGCTTTCAGCTCTAATCTGTTCCAGAAGCTGGTTCTTAGAAAGTACTTCTCTGCAGGACAGCCTTTTACCTCCTATATCACAAGTTTCCTTAACAGGTATAAGACTGATGCTGTCGGATTCTCTTCAACAAAGCCCTACATTTCTAGGGTTCTAAAAGGCTTACATAGTCACAAGACTGTCACTGCCCTTAAATCAAGAGGGCAATGGGGGAGGAACATGGGGATTGTGAAACTTCATGTGTTCAGGTTTCAGGGTGGGGCATAAGCTTTGCCCAAATAAATTTGTTAGTCTCTAAGGTGCCACAAGGACTCCTTGTTGTTTTTTTCATGTGTTCAGGATCCCTCTTATCCAGAGAGAACTGAAAAGGAGAGGGAAAATAACTACTCTTGGTACAAAGGTCTTTGCCTCTGTAGTTTCTGCTGTCTGGAACAGCCTCACTGTGTGCCTCCACCTCATGAAGGTCCTGATCCTAAATCCACTAACATCACTGAAAAGTGCCCCAATGACATCGAAATCAACAGGCTTTGGATCAATCCCTAACTCTCCATCTCTTTCCAAATGGTATCTGAAAACATCTCTTCTTCATTGCGTAGACAGCTTGGCTTCACTCTCCCTCTGCTCTTCTTTTATTACTATTCTTCATAGCATTTCAGGATACAGTTTGAATGAAAGGTGCGAAATAATTTTTTTTGTTGGGGCAGAGCTTGAAGCGGAGGAAAGCAGAGTCTGATGCTAAGCGGAGTCTGTTACATGCTTCTGCAGCTCTGACTGCTACTCTTTTATTTGCTGTAAAACTGGCCTTTTCTTTAGTAAACAAAAACAACTCGACAGCTACCAAGCTGGTCACATTTGCAAGAAATGATGTTGTCTGGTGGATTCAGTCCAGGCCTGGGAATTAGGAACACTGACTCCCGTGACTTTGGGCAAGCCATATATTCTTTCTGCCTTGATCTCCCCACTGTGAAGCAAGAACAGTGAAACTGGCCTGCCTACTTCACAAGGCTGTTGTGAAGATTACTTATATAATGTTTGTAAAACATACCATGAAAGCACTCTAGTGTTATATATTATTATGAAGAAAAGAAAAATGCCCTAAAATAAAACAAAATAGAGAAATAAGATTTCTTTCAACCATGAACTTCCCAAGCTCAGGGCTAAGACATATATATTACACAAGCAGAATAATGTATGGGCTTTTGATTGTAAACCTTTATGGGCAAGGATTGTCTTCCTGTGTGTGTGTGTGTGTGTGTGTGGACATTGTCTAGCACATTACGAGTGCTGCTGGAATACAAATGATAACAATAAATAAATCAAGTGTGGTTGATTTGAATTAAGTTGCAGGGTCAATGGGGAACTCTGCAGGTCAGGGAATTTCAATAGCCAGTTAATGTCAGTGGGGCTCTGCACAGGTGCAGAGGTCCATCAATGTGTAACAACTTGCAAGATTCAGGCCTTAAGCCCAAATCCTGCTAACACTTACACAGGTTTTTAACATTACCTACATGAGAGTCCTCCTGATTTCAACACTACTCCTGTGACTAAGTTTTAACGTATGTGTAAATGTTTACAGGATTGGGTCTTACAAACTCACTAGCATCTCCAGCCCCACAAAAAACTCATCTGCAGCAGTAAAATGCTGCCATCACTCAACAACATTACCAAGTCTTGTACCATGTAGTGATTTACTTAAAGATATAGCTGCCGGAATGATTTGATTATGTGAGAATCTCAGGGTTTTTTGTTTTGTTTTTTTTTTAAAGTAAATTTCTAGCCTCATGGTTGTGAAAAAACCTGGAAAATGTGAGCCGTAAGGCTCAAAAACCAGAAGGCAAATACAAAGAACCCCACATTACCCATTATTTAAAGCACAATCTCATGATTTTTGAACACTTGGGTCTGGCGCTGCTGACTGATTGGAAAAAAATGCTGCTGTCAGTTAGCATGATCCTGGTTGTCTCTCAGTGTGCCTGACATTTGATCCTTGTCTCTCTGTATAGGGCAGAGATCAGCAGTTCTGTCTTTGCACCTTGTACAGCGACGAGCCTGGTCTCGCACAGAGAAGCCGAGGGGAGTCCCACGTTAAATGTAACTGGTGGTTCTTGCCCCCACCGCCCATCGTTTTATTTTAAAATAGAGCTTCAACTTTAAAATAACAATGAAAGAGAAATATAACAATAGCAACTACCAGGAGCAATGGGAACATGACCCAAGGGCTCCGTGTGCCCGGCAGAGGTCTCTGCCCCGCTCCGCCCCGCCTACACCCACGCCTCCCGTGTGCAGCGTAAACCTGTGTGACCACCTTGCTGGAGAACTACACTTCCCAGCAAGCCGCGGGCCGCCGCGCATGCGCACCGCGCGCTTTCAGCATGGCCACGGTGCTGTCTCGCGCGCTGAAGCTGCCAGGTAGGGAGCTCGCTCCGCAGGGACAGGCCGAGGGCGGGGCAGGAACAACTCGGCGGGACCCTGCGCGCAGGGGGCCGGGACCGACCCGCGCCTTCCTCGGGGGCCAAAAACATCCGGGTCTTTCTGCAGGGAGGGAGAGACCCCCTCAGGGACATCTGGGTCCGGGGAGCTTCGGGGGTGGGGGGTGTCAGTGCCCCTGAGGTGGAGAAGGAAGTGGGGGTGGTCACTGCTTCAGATGTGTGTGGGGGGAAGTAGAAGGGAGTGTCACTGCTCCTGAGGTGGGGGGGAGGGGAAGAAGGGGGGGTGTCACTGCTCCTGAGGTGGGGGGGAAGAAGAGGGGGGTGTCACTGCTCCTGAGAAGGAGGAGGTGGGGGTGGTCACTGCTCCTGAGGTGGGGAGGGGGGGTCACTGCCCCTAAGGGTGGGGGAAAGAGGGGATCACTGATCATAAGGGAGGGGAGTAGGAGCTGAGTTGGAAGCCAATGGCGGGGCTGTTCCATTTGCTCATCGGATGCCCCTGACACTGCTTCTGTTGAATATCTTAGTCTCTCTGCACCCTGTCATGCACTCTTATAGCACTATATTCTGAGATTAAGTAACAGTACATTTTTGTAAAAAGCAACAGAGGGTCCTGTGGCACCTTTGAGACTAACAGAAGTATTGGGAGCATAAGCTTTCGTGGGTAAGAACCTCACTTCTTCAGATGCAAGTAATGGAAATCTCCAGAAGCAGGTATAAATCAGTATGGAGATAACGAGGTTAGTTCAATCAGGGAGGGTGAGGTGCTCTGCTAGCAGTTGAGGTGTGAACAGTACTGCTGAGCTCCAGTTCATTTGCAAATTTGACACCATCAGATCAGGATTAAACAAAGACTGTGAATGGCTATCCAACTACAGAAGCAGTTTCTCCTCCCTTGGTGTTCTGAAGAAGTGAGTTTCTTACCCACGAAAGCTTATGCTCCCAATACTTCTGTTAGTCTTAAAGGTGCCACAGGACCCTCTGTTGCTTTTTACAGTTTCAGACTAACACGGCTACCCCTCTGATACATTACATTTTTGCATACTCTTTGCAATACTTTGCTCTCCGTTTCCTACAGCTCATATTATTGTGGAACATATTTGATTTTGAACAGAGTTAGAACAATGTTTAAATTGCTGCCTTTTAAATACCTTTTGCGGTAAACTAATGCAGCGTGTAAAAAAATAAATATATGAAGGAGAATGAATACCTAAAAAAGATAAAGAAATGTTTGTCTTTGTCTCGTTCGCTAGTATGTGTCATTCCTATAAATAACCTACTCTTCTAAATCAGGCTCCAAATTCAAGTTCTGTCTCTACATTTATCGGGGTAAATATAAAAACCCTGCCAAATTTGTCTGTATAATTTCCAGTAATCTCTATTTTATCATTTGTATTAAAAATGGGAGAGAAGAAATATATCTATACCCTGGTAATAGGATATTCAGGAAAAGGGACTATTAGTTTAGAGAAGCACGTATTTTCGGAGGCGTAGATACAGTCAACTATACATTTCTGTGAGAACATTAAAAGGGAATTTTACTGAAAACACCTCTTGAGTGTCTGTATTTTACTGTAGAACAGGCTGCCAAGGTTTTGTTAGAAAACGGGTGGAGCCAATACAGGTGGCAATACTAAACCAATGGGAAAGTGCCCCATCAACTTTCATGTCTATTGCTTGCACTCAGGAAAACTGGAACAGAACTAGCACACCAGCTACTGGCTGCTGGAGCTCCTCCCTCCTGCTGGGTCTCACCAGCTTCTTAGTGCTCCCATGGCTTTGAAGTGGAACCCAGTAGGCAGTTGACATGGCCTTCCTCCACTGGCCCATGAGGACCAACCGTGATGACACCTATAAGGCCCCACCTCAAGCATTAATCAATCCAGGGCAAGGTCTTCTACCAAACTGAAGCTCTGCTTTAGTGCTTTTTTTCATTTACAGAACAATTTGTTTGTTTGATTAAACAGGATGGAACAGTTGTTCAAAGCTGTTTACTTGGGAAAAATAAAAGTTCAAAATGGGAGAGTTATAAATATGTGAGCAAAGGGGCATTTTGCAACTGCAAAGACAAACTTCTCCCTAAATTTCTTGACATAACTAATAATGTGTATCCACCTGCAACTGGAAGACATTAATTTGGGTACACAAAGTAAGCTATTTTTAGCTGAACGAAGGCCTTTCAAGGGGATTTACAAAAATAATCCTTGTATCTGTGCTCAAATTTATTTGTACACCTAAGACCCTACTTGTGTGACTAACACATAGTCAAAATGTAGCTTTCAACAGCCATGAAAAGTCTGAACTGTTTTTCCTATAGCTGCTTTTTCTTTCACTTTTCATTAATTTCGCAAATATGTGCTATCTTATTTCCCTAAGGGTTTAGATATGTATATGTGGCATCAGCCAACTCCTAAGAGCAAAAAATAGAAAACAAAGTATGGCACCAAAGAGGGTTCAAAGAATATTGGAAGCAGATTCCTGTTTTTTAATAATCAAGAAAAACAAGCATTGAAAATTACAGTGGTGTAAAGTTCAGGATTTGCTCTCTTCACTCTAAAACCAGTGCTAAAAAACCCCACTGCTATTGGCCAAGAGATCAGTGATAGCTTGGTATCTCTCAAACTGGCAAATCTTAAACTTTTCATAATGTTCATGTAGTTTTAATACAGGCCTTAATGGATGCCTGACCTGCTGGAGCACCCACAGAAAAATATTAGTGGATACTTAGCACCCACCGGCAGCCAGCTCCCCCCTCCTGTCCAGCGCCTCCCGCCCGCCGCAATCAGCTGTTCTGCAGCGTGCAGGAGGCGCTGGGGGTAGGGGGAGGAGCGGGGACGGGACCCGCTCAGGGGAGGGGGCAGAACTGGGGGGGAAGAGGCGGGGGGGAAGGGGGGGGGGCGGGGCCGGGGGCAGAGGGGGGGTTGAGCACCCCCGTGGAAAGGAGGAAGCCAGCGCCTGTGAGTCAAGGTACCTGTGCTGTCAGTTCCAAACCTCTGTGCCTTTGGAAACACCACATTCATCTGTCCTGAGATCAGCAAGTAGCCACTTGCTCCCCACCCCCGTGTCTAGTAAAATACAGATTTTCTCAAACCACCAATCCGAGGTTTGCCTACACCTGTCCTCATTTCTCACCTTCTCCAAAGCCGTAACCTTAACTGTGCATTTCCTGGGTTTCAGAAGTTTTCAGTTTTGGTCAACTCAGTGTTCTTTGAGGGGACAACATCCCACTAAGCAACCTTAACTCTGCCTCAAGATAGATTTTTGCCATTGAATTTCCTAGTTTTCTGAACAGGAAAAGATAAGCTGGAGATAGGAGTTAGGAGTCATTTAGGCAGTTGTCCATATCATGTCCTGCAATTATTGTACTGACACCAGAGGGGCAAGACCTCCCATATCCCAGCTCACATGGGGGGCTCAGACTGCCTTAGTGGTTCCAGCTCTTCCTTCCTCCCCCCCCCGCAATCTGGGCACACACATGGGAGGGGAGAATGTGGGGCTGACAGGTGCCCTTGCCCCTATTCCATCCCCTTCTCTGCCACTCCCCCCGCACATCCCCCTTCCCAGTATCCCACCCCTCCACTCTCCCAACCTCCATTTCTCCCTCGCTTGAGCCGTCAACCACTCTCCTCTATCACCTGCCCTCATTTAACTCCCTCTCAATAACCCCCCCTCTTCGCTGCAGCCCCAAATCCCTTTCCCCCACTTCCTCTCCCCTCTCTGGAAGCATTCACATGTCTATTTTTCCCCTCAAAAACTTTGATTACATTTCCTCCAAAATAAAATTGCCATCCATGACTGTCAGATTGCAGCAATCTCTGGCCACTCAGTCCAAAACTCATTTGGTTTTAGGTGGGGGCTTGTGATTAATTTACCCTTCGGTATGTTAATTGAAGGGTGAGTTCACAGCCATCGGTCTCAGTGAGGTCTGTGTTCAACCAGTCATTAATACCTCTCAGTTTAACAGTACAAGGCAGCAGAAGGAAACTGGGTTTCTGGAGGATCCTGTAAATCAGGAATCCCTTCGTCAAATGACCCCAAATTTGGATCACTAATCCTACTCTGCACTGTCCTGAGGCACACAAAATTTCAAAGGAATCTGATTAAACATGTAGATTTTAGAGGACTTAGAAAGATCAACTTTTATACAGAAGTTGTGACACAGCCTTAACTATAACAGCGCTCCCATGTTGCCTTAGCTAAGGCTGTGAGTGAGGCAGTTAAGGATTTACTGTGACTTAACAGTGTTATTTGATTGGCTTTTACATTAAAAAAATCCTGTCGTTTACATTAAAGTTACAATTTCAAACATAAAAGAAGAAAGGAAAATATGAAGGTTCTTTTATGGTACACTGGGTGCACTTTCAGCATTTCTACTAGTTGGAGAGAGATTACTGGTTTGGCTGCTCATACTGCTAGAATCTTTCCAAACTGAAGAATTTAAGGATGGCTGCTGCAATGTTAACTCTGCTGTGTAGCACAGACTGCATATTTTATACATTTAACAACTTGACAGTTACGTACTAAGCTGTGCATTTAAAGAGAAAAACAAATAGGAAAAATTACTTCTGAGCAGTAGGGTTGAATTAACATTACCATGAGAACCTAAAACTTTCTGATTTCTCTTCTTTGGATCATTCCCATTCATCATAGAATCGGAAGCTGGATACAATACACATTTTTGCAATTACCATATATATATTGTTTATGTCTTGCAAAGTGTTCCTTTAAACACTTGAGGCACAGTTTAGCATCTGGCATCACAGCTCGTTCCCATGGAAGCAGCTATGGTGTCACAGAAATTTAGATTGTGACATCACTGAGTGGATCAGGGAGGAGGAGCAGATGAAAAATGAGATATAGAGAGAGGACCCTGCCATGGATACACTGTAAAGGCTACCATGTGAGGAAGGGCTCTTTCATGATTAGAGCTTTGAATTAGGAGATTGCTGAGGAGAGTCTGGGACTTAGGTATGCAGAGGGTTAAGCATGGAGATATGTAGGGTTGGCAGAATTCAATTTTTATTTTTTAAAATGTTGACAGATAATATCGATGTTTTTTTTAAGCATTTTTTTATTCTTATCAATTTACATTTTCACAGGTGTGGAAAATTATGGGTGGGGGGGATCCGACATTAGTGGGGGTCCACCAATAATTGTTTAATGACACTAGATGTCAAGATTGAAAAAGTTAAAGCTTTATAACTATTCAAACCCAAATTGTCAACATCACATTTCAAAATACACAAGGTAATATCCTTAAATCCAAACTCTAATAAGTTCACAAGTAGCATTTTTCTTACTTTGCTTCTCTGTAAATTTCAGTTATTATCGATGGAAATATTTTTTCATGGGTTTGTGTGTGTACAATGAAATCAGCACTTATCACTGTATACCGATGAGATTCTAATCCTTCCAAGCCTAAAGATATAGTACGATAGCTCCATGGAACTGTTTCTAATTACAGACCCGGAAAGCATTAGAGGAAATTAAGCAAATCCTGGAATTGTTTTTTTGCCTTGGGGAACTAAACTGTGGGGATCTGTTTTCTTGTAGCCCTCACTCTGAGACCAGGTGGATGTGCATGGACCCCGCCTTCTCCCTTACACCTCATCCCCTCCAACCATGCCCATCATCTGAGTAGACACAAAATACAGACATCCTGTCTTCTCTCTCTCACTCTCCTCCCTTTGGGACCTGAAAGCGCAGAGATCTTATTCTTTCTTTCCTTCCCACCAGCCATGCTTGATTCTCTCTCCCTGCTTCTCTCCTCAGGAAAAAAGAGCCCGGACCTAGGGGAGTATGACCCCCTCACTCAGGCTGACAGCGATGAGAGTGAAGATGACCTTGTGCTCAGCTTGCAGAAGAATGGGGGAGTCAAGAACGGGAAGAGCACCCTGGAGGAAGTGCAGGACCCAGACTCAGAAGTGGAGGTCGAGGTGACAAAGCAGCGGCTATCAGAGAGTGCCCCAGATGGGTACCCTGCAGAGGCCACTGGCAGCCTGGAGCAGAAGGCAGCCTCCTCCCTGATGCCATACCTGCGCACAGCAGTCTTTTTGCTTACCATGGTTATCTCCATGATTCTGGTGCTGGTGTGCGCCTTTCTCATTCCTTGTCCTCCCAGAGACTTGCATAACACCTGGAACCGCAACCTAGGCCAGGAAGCAGGTGAGAGACCATTAGGAACAGCAGCTGTGTGAGATTGGGAAGGGGGTAGCTCACAGGCTGGGTGTGGGGGAAAGACCCACTTGGGAGAATTTGTTTAGAGCAGAGGAGCAGCAACTTAAGCCTCTTCACCACTGCAGATGCTCTGAGGCCATAAACAGGCATATGGCTGATGCACCCAGCCTTCCTCTGATGCCTATATGGTACATATCACGGGCCAGTCGGAGATACATTCTGTTGTCTAATAAGGTCTTACTTTCTCCAGTGCCAAAAAAATAGCAGGGTTCTTCTGACTCTCCTCCCATGTCACCCCTCTGCCTGGATGGCGTTACCCATTTTGGAATTTGCCCCAGATATAGATGGGCTAGTCCACTTTGGTCCCCATCACTTCCCTATCCAGAGATTGCACTCCACAAGCTCCTCCATTCACATGGGGTGGGGGGAGGTAGAGACAACACATGCCTGCCAATAGTGGGGGGGCAGAGTGAGGTCAGCCGGCTTCAGCAGTATTAATGAGCATGCTCAGTACAAGCCAAGCAGCAAATCTCGGGGGCGGGACATGACGCGTCGCCTGGGGTGGGGAGGAATGGATTTTCCTTTGTGTATGCAAATTGGCTTAACTAAAGTTGTTTCCTCTGCATATTTCTCTCCCTGTTAAATCTATAAATCAGTAATTTAAATGTTCCGAGGTCTCTGTCTCTCCTCAAACAGTCATAGAATAGCTAGCTAATCTGTGGTATTTTCTAAAGTGCTTCCCCGCTTGATATCTCCACTGAGACAGCAATGATCGGTGACGTGATTCTGTTAGGCCCCGATGTGATTCTACTCTTTTTCCTTCTTTCCTCCTCCCATTTCTGGGCTCTGAGAAGCCAGTCAGATGTGGTACCAGATCACTGCAGTGGGTGCAGATAATCATCTCTGCTGGCTCCTGTAGGCCCTTGCTGGATCTTTGGCTGAGCCCAGTGCTGGAGCTGTGCCGTGTGGGGAGGGACATGACATAGCTGGGCTAAACAGTGAAATCCTTGCTGATCTTAAATGCAAAAAAGAAGCTTACAAGAAGTGGAAGATTGGACAAATGACCAGGGAGGAGTATAAAAATATTGCTCAGGCATGCAGGAGTGAAATCAGGAAGGCCAAATCACACTTGGAGTTGCAGCTAGCAAGAGATGTTAAGAGTAACAAGAAGGGTTTCTTCAGGTATGTTAACAACAAGAAGAAAGTCAAGGAAAGTGTGGGCCCCTTACTGAATGAGGGAGGCAACCTAGTGACTGAGGATGTGGAAAAAGCTAATGTACTCAATGATTTTTTTGCCTCTGTCTTCACGAACAAGGTCAGTTCCCAGACTGCTGCACTGGGCAGCACAGTATGGGGAGAAGGTGACCAGCCCTTTGTGGAGAAAGAAGTGGTTCGGGACTATTTAGAAAAACTGGACGTGCACAAGTCCATGGGGCCGGATGCGCTGCATCCAAGGGTGCTAAAGGAGTTGGCGGATGAGATTGCAGAGCCATTGGCCATTATTTTTGAAAACTCATGGCGATCGGGGGAGGTCCCGAATGACTGGAAAAAGGCTAATGTAGTGCCCATCTTTAAAAAAGGGAAGAAGGAGGATCCGGGGAACTACAGGCCAGTCAGCCTCACCTCAGTCCCTGGAAAAATCATGGAGCAGGTCCTCAAGGAATCAATTATGAAACACTTAGAGGAGAGGAAAGTGATCAGGAACAGTCAGCATGGATTCACCAAGGGGAAGTCATGCTTGACTAACCTAATTGCCTTCTATGATGAGATAACTGGCTCTGTGGATGAGGGGAAAGCAGTGGATGTGTTATTCCTTGACTTTAGCAAAGCTTTTGATACGGTCTCCCACAGTATTCTTGCCACCAAGTTAAAGACGTATGAGCTGGATGAATGGACTGTAAGGTGGATAGAAAGCTGGCTAGATCGTCGGGCTCAACGGGTAGTGATCAATGGCTCCATGTCTAGTTGGCAGCCGGTTTCAAGCGGAATGCCCCAAGGGTCGGTCCTGGGGCCGGTTTTGTTTAATATCTTTATTAATGAACTGGAGGATGGTGTGGACTGCACTCTCAGCAAGTTTGCAGATGACACTAAACTGGGAGGCGTGGTAGATACACTAGAGGGTAGGGATTGGATACAGAGGGACCTAGACAAATTAGAGGATTGGGCCAAAAAAAACCTGATGAGGTTCAACAAGGACAAGTGCAGAGTCCTGCATTTAGGACGGAAGAATCCCATGCACTGCTACAGACTAGGGACCGAATGGCTAGGTAGCAGTTCTGCAGAAAAGGACCTAGGGGTTACAGTGGACGAGAAGCTGGATATGAGTTAACAGTGTGCTCTTGTTGCCAAGAAGGCTAACGGCATTTTGGGCTGTATAAGTAGGGGCATTGCCAGCAGATCGAGGAACGTGATCGTTCCCCTTTATTCGACATTGGTGAGGCTTCATCTGGAGTACTGTGTCCAGTTTTGGGCCCCACACTACAAGAAGGATGTGGAAAAATTGGAAAGAGTCCAGCGGAGGGCAACAAAAATGATTAGGGGTCTGGAGCACATGACTTATGAGGAGAGGCTGAGGGAACTGGGATTGTTTAGTCTGCAGAAGAGAAGAATGAGGGGGGATTTGATAGCTGCTTTCAACTACCTGAAGGGGGGTTCCAAAGAGGATGGAGCTCGGCTGTTCTCAGTGGTGGCAGATGACAGAACAAGGAGCAATGGTCTCAAGTTGCAGTGGGGGAGGTCTAGGTTGGATATTAGGAAACACTATTTCACTAGGAGGGTGGTGAAGCACTGGAATGAGTTCCCTAGGGAGGTAGTGGAATCTCCTTCCTTGGAGGTTTTTAAGGCCCGGCTTGACAAAGCCCTGGCTGGGATGATTTAGTTGGGAATTGGTCCTGCTTTGAGCAGGGGGTTGGACTAGATGACCTCCTGAGGTCCCTTCCAACCCTGATATTCTATGATTCTATGAATAGTGCTGCTTCGGTGGTTTCCTGTGGATTCCATGATGCCTGGTTATTCAGACCCCTTTTCGTTCATGGTTGTCCTCATCCCCATTGTGCAGAGTGGATTTGGCAGCCATTCTGATAGCAGCTCCTGATTTGCTTTGATTGTCACAGGTGGAGTGCTGTTCCCACTGGAGCTCTCTGATGTGAATGGTGATGGGCTCCCGGACATCTTGCTCTCCTTCACAGCCCTGATGAATGCTAGCGTATTGGGTAAGATTTTAACTGCCAACTTCGCTTCGCCAGGGATGCCAGCCTTGATGGCTCTTTTGTCGGGTTGTCCAATGATTTTTTTCTTATTTTCTCCCTGCCAGCCTTTATGAATGAGAGGAGTTACCCTAACCATCTGCAGAGCTGCCATGCTGTTCTCCTTCAGATCTCTCCTTAAAACAGCTCACTTCTGCTGTGAAAGTCCCAGCTGATATATTGATTGACAGTAGTAATTTTACCACACCTGGCTGTTTAATGTTAAGCAGCCCACTCCCCCTCAGCAGGCTGCTTTTCATTTCTCTGCTAACATTTGCATGACACGTGGGATACCCCATCAGAAGTCTAGAAATAACTTAGCTTGTCACTGAGTTCTGCTGGTTTCCCACTGCTCCAAGCTTCCTGTTTCTGGAGCTTCCCAGCTGTCATTGTACTGCATCTCCACAGCCACCTTCATCTTGTAGTAACATGAAATCTGTTCCAGTCCCACAGACACAGTCAAGAAGCAAGGGCCCATTATGCTGGAGTGTATTGGCAATATCTGGTGTCTAATTACAATGATTGGTGTAATAGGAATACAGATAAGAAGGAAAATTTCCCTTCCCCCATGGCATAGTGCTACATAAGTAAGACCCCATGTACTCCATTACAAGTGAGATGTAAATTCCACTGCAGGGTCCCTGGAGTCCAAGGAATTCTGGTGCAGTAGATAGAAAATCCAATGGCAGGTTCATTTCAATTAAAAAATTGTGATTATACTGAATTAAATATGAAAATGAATCATTCAACCTGTGTGGTATTCCCCGGGTTCTTTATTTTACACTGTTCCCACATTTTCAGTTTTCAACATGAAGCAGATTTTTGTACTGGCACTGCACTGTAGATGCTGTTAGGGAGAAGCTGGAAATTTTGCCATCTGGATAAGACCCATGTGGAGCTCTTAGCACCTTGGAAGATGTGGGGACTTTGTTTGGGGTTGTGACATAAGCGCATTAGCTGGATGTTTCTGCTAAAAAGATGAACAGTATGTCTGATGTTAGGCTGACCTTAAACTTATCATCATTAGGCATCAAAGTCAACATTTGATTAAAACATATTGGGCTACTTCATACTCCATTTAGCTATTATTTTGTGCTGTCTGCAGACTCAGGCAGACAACACTGTTTGACACTGATTGCATGCTTTCAAGGTGTTTTTCACAACAATGAAGGCTAGAAACATAGGGGGGCTTTTTACCAAAAAAGAAAAAACTTAAGATTGTGGAGCAAAATTCTGCTGCCACAGAATCACAGAACATACAGGACCCTGTGCATAACTAGCCAGGTTCCTAATAGAAGGGTAGTTGCAACTTCTAAGCATTAACCATTGGTCAGCAGAAGAATAAGCATTAAAAAGAACAGTAGTCTAGTCTGGTGTGACAGCAGTTAGGGTGATGAATTGAATGGACCAGTAGGTGCTCGGGTAGCGCAAATATTATGTTCCTTTGCCAACCAAGAACAGAAACGTAACTTCAGGTGTTTCTATGGACAGTTACTGCCAGTTCCATTCCTGTGAGCTAGCAAGAGACTGACATAACCAAACTCATGGGATTCTTCTGAATGCAACTACTTTAACCTTTTCCACTTGGGGACAGCACAGAGTAGCAGCATAACTGAATGGAGTGTCCCCCTGAGATCACTTTGCCTTGTTCCTCTCTCTCCTTTGATTGCAAGGGACCTCACTGCCCCTCTTGTGTGTCTGCAGGTGTTTCTACACCATCGGTAACTGTGATGGCCCTTTCGGGTGTGAACGGCAGCACCCTGTGGTCCAGCCACATTCCAGAAGAAACTCGGAGTGTGCAGTGTAAAGGACTGACTCTCACAGCCCCAGCTGAGCCTGTCTGCCTTGTGACTGGAACATCCAAATTCCTCAGCCTTCTCCAGGCCTCCTCAGGTAGTTCCAGGCATGAATTTGTGGATGAACCGATCACCTTGAATAATTCAGCACCATGGTAGCAACATAGGAACAAGTCCATAGCTAAAAGAAAACTGCAGAGTAATACAGAAGATGATCTAATCCAGGGGTTCTCAAACTGTGGGTCGCGACCCCATTTTAATGGGGTTGCCGGGGCTGGCTTAGACTTGCTGGGGCCTGGGACTAAAACCAAAGCCTGAGCCCCACCGCCTAGGACCGAAACCCAAGCCTTGGGCGGCGGGGCTTAGGTTACAAGCCCCCTGCCTGGGGCTCAACCCTTTGGGCTTTGGCTTTGCCCCCCTCTCCACCAGGGGCAGTGGGGCTTGGGCTTTGGCTTTGCCTCCCCGCCGCCCTCCTCCCCCCCCGCCTGTGGCGGAGGGGCTTGGGTGGGCTAGGTCTTCGGTCCCCTCTCCTGGGGTTGTGTAGTAATTTTTGTTGTCAGAAGGGGGTCACAATGCAATGAAGTTTGAGAACCCCTCATCTAATCGTTAACAAATACCGAATTAGAAGGAATAATATGTAATGTAATCCTTTGCACTTCATTAATGTAGCCCTATAACATCCCTGTGATATAGATAAAGGATATAGGAGTCATTTCACCTACCACTGAAATGTAGCCACCTCTTGAGTGGAATGCAGCAGCTCTTTCACAACAACACAGATGCGCTAAACATCATATCTAGAGAAAGAGGTGAGGAAGTATGCTGTAGCCAGTTCCAGATTCAGGAGAATTTAGGTTGATAAAAGTATTTACTAGATCTGAACGAATATTGCATTTTTAGTCATTTTGATTATGTTCCTTTTATGTTTACTCTTAATGGACATCCTCGCAAGTGAATTTGCTAGCAGAAATGTTCATGGGAACAGTGAATTTTAGGCAAATGTTGGAGAATATTTTTGGAGCTTGAATGAGCATTTGCAGTGGAACCCTGGTTCTGAGAGTTATATTTATTTAGTTAGGGAATATAGAAATGTTGCATGACTTCTGTGCCCAATGAAAACTAACCAACACAGCTTGACTTTCAAACGGTTGTAATGAATGAATCCGGTGAGACTGTTCACATGTATAAGTGTTTGCAGGGCCAGGGTAGTCTCTCTGAACTCAGTACTACTGCTTGTGTGAGTACAGTTACTTGTGTACATAAGCATTTGCAGGATCTGGCCCTAACTTTGTTCTGTACTTTGGAGGGGTGGGGAGGCTTTCCCACAGCAGAAGAGGGAGAAAAGCATGTTAAAATATGATTGTAAAAGTATAGTAATTGGCAGAGGGACTCAGAGGGCAGGGAGAGCATCTGGAATTACTTTGAATTTGTTTTTTAATTTAGTTAGAAAATTTGTGAATCCTCTTTTACTGGCCCCTCCGCGGGTCCCCACTGACAAACCGTGTTTAAAATCACTTCTGCTCACATACCTTTATCCCCCCATGTGGAGAGGATAAAGATGCAACAAGGGCTGTTTCCTGTTGGAAATTTTTCAGACACAGATTTCCATTTCCAAAATCTGTCCCTCCAACTATGAGTTCCTATCCCATTCCCTGGGAGTGTCTGCATAGCTGTGACATCAGCAATCAGGCTTTACCACTGGCCAGTTAGGACAGCTGGTGTCCTGCAAAGCCTCTCTCTTATTTAGGATCTAATCCTGACAGTTGAACCCCAGAAGAGTTGCAGGTTCAGAACCAGACCCTGATGAAGATGTCAGAACGCTAATAAAGCAAAGCATTGGCAGGCTGTGACTCAAAAGCAGTTCACAGCAATGGGGAGGAAAGAATTCCACTTTCCACTGTGTGTGAATTCCACAGCCACCTGCTCTAGGTTGGATTTGTTACTCATGCTGTTGGGCGGTAGTGTCTTCTCTCCCTTCCTCCTTCAGGAAGGTTTAGTTGGACTCTCTGAGGATTCTCATGAATTCTGCTTTCTTGACGTGCTGCAGTGCTCAGATGTTCTCTTCTCCTATAGGGAAAACCATCTGGACACTGAACCCCGCCCACCTGCCAAGTGGGACCCTGGCTGCACCAGCCGTCATGCTGCCAGATTTGGATGGGGATAAGGTTGGAGATCTGGTGGTTCTGGCCATCGGAGAGACCCAGGTATGATACATCCCCACCAGAGCTCTGAATGGGCTTGAATCTTTGGAGGGGGAGCAGGGACATGGTCTAAAGAGAGTGTAGTGGGGGAAGGGCACAAATTCCTTCATCCAAGTAGTTTTCTTACCTCAGATTCCCCTTAGGTACAAACCTGCCTTCCTTCTCTTGCTCTAGAGAACAGGATCAAGTAGTAATTACATTGTCTGTATCTTTTATCAGCTGACAAATGAATGTCGTTGTTAAATTAATCACTGTCCACTGGCTGAGACGTGAGAATTGCTCTCTCCTGTGCTTCCCCCTTTAGCAGTTACTGCTTTTGTTTTTAAAGTGGTTTTAGAGCACTAGTGAAAGCTGACAATTTGACAGCCCAGTGATGTGCTCTGTTTAGCTATCGAAGAGACGTCCCTGTCTGTCAATCATGGTGCAGACTTCCCCTATGCTGCTCCGTGCACAATGACTTAGAAAGTACTGCCTTTAAGGTTGATGAGAGAGTTCAGGCTCCAAAGTCCATTCATTCACTGACACCTCTGCTACTGACAAGGGTGCCTAGCATATTGGGGGGGGGGGGGGGGTTGTGACAAGGATATCGTAACATAAGGAACTAGACCAAGACTGCTAGCTCACACAGGAAAACAAATAGAGGAGGTGGGAGGGAAGAAGAAAGATGCCAAATGATTTGTCATGTGATACATGCTACTGTGTGGGGAGGGAATGGCAGAGCTTTTCATTCTGGGGCAGAGAGGCTTTCTGCTGTGTGTGAGTCAACTCCCAGAATTCCCTGCATCTCTGTCACCTTTGCAGCCAGACCTGTGCTTTATCCTGGTATCGGGTAAGACGGGAAACCCTCTGGGTGGGCCCGTGAAGTACAGCATCAATGGAGAAGGAAAACTGATCGGCCCCCAAGCCCACATTACCAGCCGAGGAGCCATCTATATCCTGTTTGGCTTTGGTAAGATGGGCCACTGGCCTCTGCCACTTCCATTTGATCTCTTTTCTAAGGCATTTTAAAGCTGGGATCACTGTGAGCTCTGCCAGGCTGTTCCTACCATTCCTTCCACTGGTGGAGGCTCAGATTGGAGAAGATGGGAGCTCCCCACACCAGTGTAGGAAATGGCGCAGGAACAGTGATACCTGCTTGGAGCTCCTAGGACTGGAGTGGCTTGGAGCTCTCCAAAGCCATTGATGCTCCTACGCATCTTCCTACATTTTGTGCTTCTCGGAGAGGCCGAGACTCTCCTCCTGCTTTTGTTTGATCACTATCCACCTGCAAGTGGTCCCAGCCTCTTGTACTCTCAGGACTGTCATCCAACAAGTGAGAATCTCAATCTTTGCTCTCCCTGTCACGTATCTGTTAGGTAATGTCCAAGCAGTCGCCCTGAGGGATCTCTTTGCCCAAGCCAGAAACCGTGACAGCTTCCCTCCTGTGCTGCAGCGGGAGGAGCCGGAGTGGGAGAAGCGCAGATCTGTCAACTTATCAGAGCTCATTGACATTTACAGGTGGGTTGTGGTCTCTCCATTCGGGCTAAGCTGTGGTTCTGCCTGGGCACTGTTGGAGGTTCCCCTTCCACTTGAATATCTCTGTCCATCAGAGTCACCTAGGCAATGCCTGTGACATCAAGAACTCCAATTCCCTCCCTGTTCCAGTGATTGCAGTGGGCATATGCCATGTGTTATAAAGGGAACCTCTTGTTCCTCTGAGCCCTTGTTCCCCCCTTACAGCCACACATGCATAGGAATATGCCTGCACAGGGGAGAAAAAGTGTGTTTCTAAATCATTAAGAATCCAAGTTAGCAGCTCTGTCTACACAGCAGAGTGGGCCAGGGTCGTGTAGGACCTGCATGTCCCTTATTCTCCACGCAGTGATTCAATGCCCAGCAGAGCCTGGGAAATCCTTTAGTGTGACTGGGAACAAGAAGAAAGCAGCAGGCCCCAATTTAGATGAGGTGGTGAAGTGGGGATTCAGTCACAGGAAAAAACCTAAAACCCATACCTCTGTGGATTAGACTCTCACATATTCAAAGGCGCGTAGAGCTTGGCATTGGCTGTTTTTATTTAAATAAGTAAATAAAACCTGGGAAGCCCAATTGCCTCATGTTGTCTTTCTTCCTCTCCCAGCGGGGGCGTAGAGTTCCTGCAGATGGTGATGGCTTCAGATACTAACTGCAGCGACCTCCTCATCACCACAAAACACAACCTGACTCTGCTGCGAGGAGAGGACCTGGAGCCCCGCTGGAACCTGGAGCTGCAGGACATTCATAGGTTAGCTACCCTTTTGTTTTTTCTGTGTCTCCGTTTTCTGTTTCTCTCCTCCAGGCGCGCACACTCCTGTGGGAATCATCTGGAATTATTCCCCAAGCTTGCAGGGATACCAGGGAGCTGGAGTCATTTGTGTGTCGGTATGTTAGTGCTGTGGGGAGGGAAGAATGGGAGAGGAAAGGAATGAAACAAAGGGACAGACTGAATCGCCAACATACTAGATTCAAAGAGTGACGTCCATCTTAGTATGTTGAAAGGAAGAAATTCGTCCCTGTGCAGGCAGCCAGCACGTGGTCTATGCAGCACTTAAGCCCCTTGAGATGATGGTGCATATGCTCTGTGCTGGACCTCTGCACAGGGGTATATTTCACTCAAAGAGTTTAATGAAGTTGCAAAATCTCCTGGGACAATAACAACAGGTGATTTCCCCAGCAACCCCAGTATTAACTGGTTGAATGTACACCTGGGCATAGATGGCAGAAGTACTTTGTTGACAGCATAAACAAGAAACTTGTTTTGGTACCTACAAAGGTGGAAACAACTGTGAACTTAGTGTGTCCCTAGCCTCTGTTTGCCAGAAGCTGGGAATGAGTGACAGGGACGGATCACTTGATGATTACCTGTTCTGTTCATTCCCTCTGGAGCACCTGGCACTGGCCACTGTTGGAAGACAGGATACTGGGCTAGATGGACCTTTGGTCTGACCCAGTAGGGCCGTTCTTTTGTTCACTAACAGGTAGGAATTTATCCAGGAGGCAAGTGTAGAATCTTCATTAACCAATAGCGATCACTGTACAGTTGGGTGTGGTGTCCTAATAGATGGCAATACACCTACGAGGATACAGTGATTACTTTGAAAAGGGCAGATTGCAAAACTTATGCAGGAAAATGGTGAAGATGAAGTGAAAGATAAAGGTGGAAACATAGATCATGGAATCATCCTGCAGCCTGTACAGGACCACTGTGCTAAAGGCCCAGATTAGCTGTTGTTTTTTTTCTCAGTGGGTAGATACAAAGAGTAAAAAGGGGAACAAAACATGCATAGTAAAGTAGAGAAGGGGATTAGTTTATTAGGGCTAAAAGAATATCATTTAATAAATGAAAACCCTGCTTAAACAACATAGCACAAAGTACAAACTCTGCCAGGAAGTGTCACACATGAAACAGCAGGAGAGATGGTATGTCAGACATACAATATCTAAACCCAGCAACTATTCCTGAAGGCTAAAGAATTTTGGAAAGGGGAGCAAAAGAAGATTCTGGGGGTAACAGATTGGGAAGCCTCACTTCACTACTAAGGATAGTGATGGCAATTCTCAAGTCTTGTCTTCGTTGGAGATTGGCTCCAATTAGAGCCGCCAGTATCGCCATACAAGCACAGGCATAGGGGAGACAGGCTAAGCTGCAGTTTCCAAATGTGCAGCTTACACATCCCAGGTTCAATCAGGGACAAGCTCCACAGTTTATAGTGCTTTGCCCATTTACCCTAGGGTTTTTGTACTGGTGCAGCTACACTGGTGGCTGGAATCCGCACAGCCCCCCAGCATAGACAAGGCCTAAGGATAGAATAGTAAAACACTTGGATAAGTGTCACTCAGTAGAGTCAAACCCACACAGCTTCTGTTAGGGAAAATCTTGCCCTTTTGGAAAAAGGTAACAAAATATAATAAATGATAAAGGTGGCCCGGTCGATAGAATTTTATTGGATTTTCAAACAGCTTTTGATAAGATCCTTTAAGATCATAAAGGAGAATCACTAGCCAGAAGGTAAGGGACAAAGTCTGGTGGACTAGAAATTGGTTAAGCAATCGAAAATCGTGTTGTAAATGGATGATTTTCAGAAGAGAGAAGGTTTAATACAGGCTATCCCAGTAATTAGTGTGGTGGCAGAATTGGTTTGTTACACCACTGATTTGAAAGTGGGAGTTGATGTTGACTGATGGATAACACCTAAAGTATATTTTCAGTTTGGGGGAAAACGCCAGATGAATTCAAACCCACAGGGGAATCAGGAATCTTGATGGCAGAAGAAATTCACCTTAAATAAATGTAAAGTAACATGCACAGGCAAAAAGTAGCCTCCACTTTTTGTTTATGCCAGTGTACTTTGAAGATACGGGATTCTCCAAGGTAAATGACTTGGGAAACATTGATGCTAGTTTAAAGATATCTGCCGCTGGGTTCAGAGGCAATGAAAAAGGAAAAGGCATGCTTGGTGCACTACAAAGGGGATGAGCAAATACAGAACATACAGTGGTGATATTATATTGAAGAATTGCCTGCTCTTATTTGGAGCATTGTGTCCAGACCTGTCCACTTTAAGAAAGATAGAACTCAGATTCAAAAGCCAGAGAGGCAAGCAAGATGGTTAGAAAACTCAGGAGTTTACATATGATGCAAGAGATCCAAATCTAGAATTATATCGCATAGAAGGAGAAAAGTGAGAGGGGACTTGAGCTGAACTATTAAAGATTAAGAAGGGTTTAGTAAAAAATGGCCAGTGACTCTTTCTCACACTGGTCCATAATAAGGGAACAAGGAGTAATGTGATAAAAATAATGCCTCACACATCATATAATCGGTCTGTGAAACTTACTACCGCAGGCGGTCTGACAACCAAAAACTGTTGATGGATTTTAGAAGGTCTGGATAATTTTATGACTGCTAATACAAATGTGTAGTTGTGCATGCTAAGGAAAGGGTAATAAAATGTCAGGCTGCATTATGGTAAACTGATTACCATATGACTCAGACAGGAATTTCCCTCTGTGTTTATGGCACTGAAGAATTGCTTAGGAGCACTGTGGTTATTTTTCCCTCCTCTGATATAACGGCAAATGGTTGCTGCTAGTCAAGGACTATGCTTGGTGAATTAAAAGCCTGATCTGGTCTGGCAAATCCTGTGTTAATAGCAGTGGGATGAGTGTCAATCAGGGGAAAATTACCTAAAAGCGGGTGCATTGTCTCGCTCAATATTCCATGCTTTTCCAGTCACTGTTACTTTCTCAACATTCACAGCCAGCCTGCCCCTGGCTACTTCAATGCTGACCAAACCCTGGACTTCATGGTGCAGGCTCAGAGGAACGACAATGTGAAAAAGGTAAATCCTGGGAAAGTTACCACTTGGGGAGGACTGTGGTGGGACAGAAGAGAGGACAGGGTATGTGCTAGCTGTAAGGTCCCTAGTCTCTGCCATAATCATCTGTCTCTTCCCATTTCCATGGCTCATGGTGCTCACGCTGTGTCCCCCTCCCTGTTTTCAGATGCTGGTGGTGGATGGTAAATCAGGCCTCCCTGTTTGGAGCTATGATCTCCCGTGTCACATGCAGGAATCTGATGCACTGTCAGTGATGACTTTGGAGAAGAAATCTGTTTTTCTCTTCTGGGCTGACGAAATGCAGCCTGCATTACAAAACTTGGTAAGCGAGAAAGAGCCCTGTTCCCACTTGGAAGCTTTCTGCCTGAGGAGTATTCAGTCTCTCCCCTTTTTCTTATTTCTTCTTCAGTTACAATGTTACTGAACTTAAAACCTTCCATATGGGATGGGGGGGTCTCTTGGTTCTAAATTCTGAAGGGTGCATGTACACACACACATACACATAGTCTGTTTTTAAATCTACTACTAGATTATTAATATTTTTCCATAAATAGCTGCCATTTTTGTAGGCTCCACACAAATGTGAACTCCCCTGTACCTGTTCAGCAGTTCAGATCCATGCTGTCATTGTTAATGATGTGGAACGCAGTCAAGACCCCTCACGTATTAGTTTTTGACATGGGAGACAAGGTGAGAATAAAGTGTATGTAGGCCAAGAGGGAGAACAGAAGTGAAGGAAATGCATTTTTGATGGCGTTACGCAAACCCACATCTACACGAAGAGGAATAACATAATGAAATCTTCCACCTGTCTAAGGTCCAGTAAAGTCAGCCATCACCATGGTATCTGAGTGAAGGGAGAGAATAAGTGTACAAGGCCTTCAAGCCAGTTCTGTCTAAATTCTGCAGTGATTGTCTATAGCAGTTGAGTCTCACCCCCTAGTGGTTGTAGTTCATGGCTGCAGGGCTTGCTGTATGTCTAGGGGAGAAAGCAGTAAGAGAGCTCTGTGGGATGCTGCAGAAGCCTTTCCTAGTCCGAATGTCACTGGAACAGTGTGCCATTGGGCTCCCTCCTAAGAATACAGTGTTCCTAAGCCCAGAACTCTTTTATTTGGAAGAGTGTGGGACGGGGCGGAGGGAGGGTGAACGTTCAGCTAAATGTGTGTTTTCCAGGAACTCCAGGGCTTAGCTTCCATAATCTCTTAAACTAGCATTCCACAGCTTGGTGGGCAGGCTGCTAGACTGGTCCAGGAGAGGGGAAAGCAGTGTGGAAGGGAGAACTAGTAGAGTCAAAAAAAGCTGCATGATCTTGGATCAAAACCACAGCCGTCACTTGCACCTGTGACAGTTCTTAATGGAGACAGCCCCATGAAGAGCTTGCATGAACGAGCTCAGACAGCAGCCTGCCAAGCCAAGCCTCCCTTTTCTGCTATTCAGCATGCTTGCAAGAGCAGGCGCAGCCTGGCACTATGAAGCCACCAGTGGAGGGCAACACCCAAGAGAATGTAGCTTTTTGAATGGAGGCTGGCAAGGGAGGAAAAGAACAAGAGCAAAAAGAATTTTAAAAATATAAAAGCAAAAAATAGACGGAAGACAAAAAAGGGGGAAAAAGAACAGAGAGAGTGAAGGAAAGGAACGAGAAATGTGCCAGGGCGTGGTGTGAAGGGACATAGGGATGGGAGGAGGAGTGCCTCACAAAAGGGGTTCTAGATAAAGAAAGTTGATAACTGCTGCCTTACGGCTTCTACAGAGCTGCCTTTCAGGGCAGGCAGTAGCCTACAGGAGCCCGAGGAAGGGATTCTTGTTTGCTCTAGTGACTTGTTCTCCTAGGAGCTGGGCTTACATTGGTCCCTGCCCACTGGATGGTTGTGCCAGTTCCTGAGCTTCTGTTGCATTTGCAAAGTCTCACCTGCTGCCCCTTTGCCTCACAGCATTGGTCCCAGTCCTCTCAGCTAGTTCACCAGTTTTCCCTGGCTGGAGGAGAGATGGGTTCTCAGAATGTTTCTTTCTTTTGCCTGTCTCCTCCCTCGGCATGAGTCCATAGAGAAGCTGCTTGGGCTCACACGTTATTCTAGACATCCTCCAGGGGCTCCTTTTCATACTGAGAAAGAGCTTCTTCCGTTTGGGGACAGCTGCTGTGGAAGAGCTGTGCAATCAAAGGGGAGACTGGCTGAGATAAAACATTGTGGGAGAGACCTCATGTGTGAATGGTTCTCTCTCTGGAGCAGGAGAGCCCATCCTGGAGAAGAACTGAGATTTTTATAGCAGCAGGTCATAGATGATTTCTGTAGCTCATGCCAGTCAGTGTAAGATGGGGGTTCTCAGCAAATGGCGGCTCCTTCCAAAGCAGGAGTTGTTGTGGAGGATGTAGCCATCCCTTTTTTGCCTTTCTTTCCAAAAGGAGCCTGGCCCAAGAAACAAGCGTCCAGGGCTACACCACCTCTACCTCCTGCACCCTACCTTTCCTGCCCTCCTTTTGGACCTCACCAATGTAACAGACACAGTGACTGCTTCAGCCAGTAAGTATGCAAGGGCATGGGGTGCTTCTTAGTCTCATCTCAAAGGGAAACTGAGGAAGGCCAAATGGCTGTTAAAAATCCTTCCCTGTTCTGAAGGAGAAGTTGGCTGTGAGATGGTCTGGGGTCTTGCTGTGCTTCAGAATAAGCAGGACTCTCGGTGTCCACCAAGTTTAGGCCAGCCACAGAAAATCAGTGAAAACTGCCACCAAGGTTCAACTCCCACTCCTCCTCTCTTGCCCAACACCAGGTCTATAGGCTGGCAAGTAGAAAACTCACCAAATCACTCTTAGCATATGATAAATACTAAGGGCCTGATTCTGGTATCACACTGGTTTTACTTTGGAGTAGATCCATTGATTTCAGTGGAGTGAACTGGGTAATCAGACCCAATCATCTTGCTGCCCCCAATACTGTGCCCGAGGCAGTCACCTATTCTGCGCTATGTGGTAGAACCTGCTCTGCTTCCTCCTCATTCATTTGAAGAGGTGATTGAAAATTAAGTACTTTGTTTAAATATTAGTTTTTCCTTTGATAGTTAACCTGGATTTGCCTCCATACAAAATTACACAATCAGTGGAATGTGGGAGTTTAAATTACCTCCTAAGAGCATCAGCTGGACACCCAAGGGAGCATACCAGACCAGTTGGACCAATGGCCTGGCTGGTGTGGCAGGAGGCAAGATATGGGATTAGATGAACTGGCAATCTGGTGTGCCAGGAGGTGGGGCCCAATGCTAGACATGCCACAACCAAGTCTGCTGTGGTGTAATGATTCTAAGATTCATAGCACTGTTGAAATAAATGGCTGCCTTGAAAGTAAGTGTAAATTCGTTGTTAGAGCAGGGAATTGGAGATGATGGTTCCTGGGTTTTGTTCAGATTATTCTATTCATTATGGGGCTTTGGACAGGTTTGTTACCCTCCCTCCCTTTATGCCCATTTCCCTATTTGTAAAACGAATAAAATGCCTACTGACCTGAAGAAGAGCTCTGTGTAAGCTCGAAAGCTTGTCTCTCTCATCAGCAGAAGCTCGTACAATAAAAGATATTACCTCACCCACCTTGTCTCTCTAAAATGCCTACTTACAGGAGTACAGAGGATTAATGTTTGTAAGGTGCCTTCAGATTTGGGAATGAGAGGCTCTTTAGAAGTGTATTACATTATGCAAGTATGCGTAGCTGCCAGCGTAAGACTCAAAAATGCCAGTTGAGTCGCAAACTTCATATTTTGATCTGCATTGCAATTTATTTCCACTGCAGATTTTCACCTTCAAGATTTTTGAACAGAATGATCCAAATTTATATGTGACTAAAGATCCACAGTCCTTACGCAGGGTCTGTCTACACTGCAGTCCGAGGTGTGACTTCAGCACATGTAGACATACCCGAGCCAGCTCTGATCCAGCTAGCTCCAGCACCAGTAGCAATGAAACCATGGCAGCACAAGCTGAACAGCCTGGTCTGGGGCCCTGTGTACGTACTCAAGAGGCCAGCCTGGGCTACCATTGCTGTTATTGAAGCCAGTTAGATCAGAGCTAGCTTGGGTATGTCTGCATGTGCTTCAGTCACATCTCTGATTGCATTGTAGACAGACTCCCACCCAGACACGACTCACACTGAAGTCAGTGGGAATCTTGGCTGAGTGAAGACTATAAGCTTTTGCCTGAAGGGTGTAATTTTCTCAGTGTTCGCCAGTATTTTCTCTCCCTTTCTTATCAATCAGTTGGAATTAACGATCTCCAAAAAGATGCATTTTACATCACCATGACAACGAGCCCGACCTCCGAAAACCAGCCGGGCCTGCTGTTGGTCAGCAAGCTGGGCCTGCGGTGGGCCATGCTCACTCAGAGCCGAATGGTGCCGCTGAGGGAGACCACCTCAAAAATCAGCCGTGGGGAAGTGAGGAGATTCCTCTCCAGGCTGAAGTTTATTGATTTTCCTCACAAGGTGAGACAGTTCAGAGGGAATCCTTTGCTAAGTCACAGGGGTCGGACAGGCAGTGCCCCTCCCCTCATGGACAAGGGTTGGGGATCTTTCTGCGCTGGCATTTGCAGGATGCCATCCCTTTGAGCGTAAATTGAGTGGACTGTCAGGGCATGCAGATGCTTTGGTAGTTAGGACGTGACAGTTGGACTGGAGGAATCTTGGGAGCAGGACAAGGACAGGGGATGGTAGCTGGGGAGGGGTAGAAAGGCAGTGGGAAACATGGGGAAGGCAGGGGTCCCCTGTCTGGACTTTGGGCTAGTAGAGTCCTGGCTGATGACTTTTCTCTCTTTCTCCAGTTCTAGCATGTTGGCCCGTCAGGTTTCAATAGCCAGGTGGACGTGTGGTCTAGGTGGGGCACGGGGAGCTGCTTGGCGATTCCTCAGGACGTCCGCTGTGCCCAGGGAGTGGGGACTGAGCACTCTCTCTGTCCCCCCCCTCCCGCTTGCTGTGGAATGGGAGCAACTGTGTGTGACCCCTTCCCCCCCACACCCTGCCTGCATGCTTCCTTCTGGGTAACATGGCAATGAGAAGGCAGAGAGATAGAGCTGTGAATAGAAATGGGTATATTTTTGTATGTTTAATTTATGAACTGGTTCCAGGAAGCTCCCATTTGTGTCCAACCAGCATTTCCTGCCATTCTGCACTAATCTCTGTATTTTTGTAGTGGAGCCTCTGCCTGGCTCCTATATGGCAGGGCTGGTCATGGACGCTCCACCAGCTGTCCTACCTCTTTATTTTACAGACACCAGGGCACTCCCCTTTTCCATGTCCAGTTCCCAGTCTCCTGAACCGTCCAGCCCTCTATGACCTTGGCAGGTTGGGAATGTGCGCTCCAGAGGAGAAAGGTTCCACCCCCCCATTCCAATTGCCCCTCCCAACCAGGTTGAAGTGGCTGGTGGAGAGGCTTCCCATTCCTAGGTCGCCCTTTCCCCTTGCTTTGTTTGCAGGCCCAGAGCTCCATAGAAACATGCCCAGTATTCACAAGAACATCACACCGTTTGTATCCCAAAGCACATTTGTTACCTGAAGTGGGCCAGATCCTCTGGTACAGGGGAGTGCAGCCATTTTGTGCTGTGCCTCTGGCAGACTCTAGCCTGGATATGTGGCCCCAGGAATATCTCACCAGTGTGAAGTGGTTCCTCAGATGGTGTAGAGGCTTTTCTGCACCCCCCTGCTTCTTGCATAGGAGGAGGGGATGGAGGCAAGGGGTAGAGCCAGGAGACCCTTTCCTGAACTGATCCCCAGCTGCAGTTTTGGTCCTTTGTGGCCATCACCAGGTACATAAGTTAGAATAGCCAGAAGGCTGCTCTGACTTAACAGTGGGGACCTGTGCTACTCACAGCTGCCCCAGAATCAAGAGAGGGTTACAGTAGGCTTTATATTATCACTCTCCCCCGACCTCCCTCCCAGTGCAAAAGCCAAAAGCTGGATCTGTCCCCAGTATGTTTTAATTCTTTGAAATGTAACCTCTGTGTCTCAGGGCGTGCAATGGCCCGTGCGCCGATTCTGGAGTGTGTCCGTAAAGCCTCCTGTGACATAGTGACAACGCCTCCTTGGTGACGTCTGGCCCCTACTAACTCTCCCCACTGCAGGGTGCCCTCTTATAGGAACTGGTTTCCCAGCATGCCTCTCTCGGGCTGGCTCTTTACATTTGGCAGAGCCAAGCAGCTGTAGCCCTAAAGTGGCTAATTGGCTGCTGCTTGGTGCATTTTTCTCTCCTCCAGCTAGTACGTCCCCTTTGTTTTCTTCCAGTTCTTCTTGTCTTAGTGCTGAGGAGAGGGCACAGCTTGGCACCTCCTTTTAAAAGGGCACATGAACCATGGGTGTGGTTGGCTCTGTACCCTGGGCTCTTGGCCCAGCTCCTCACTGCTTGTTTCTCTTTCTCTCTCTCCAGTGCAATGCTTCTGTGCAGTCTCTTCAGGGGTAGCTGCAACCCCGAGGCTGGGCCTTGGGCCTCTCCTTATTAATGCCAGAGCCTTTGAACAGTTTGTATATGCTTAATGGTATTTGTGTGTAAATAGCTTTGTAAATATTAGCACAACTGTAGCAAGGGGCTCTGGTCCTGGAACCTGCCTGGCCTCTACTCTCTTCTAGCTGGGTGTGGTGTTTATATGTGTTGGTTGGTTTGTAAATCGGGCTGGCTGGTGGTGGCTGAATGTCTAAGTACCAGTAGGCAAGTTAGGAACAGGGATGTGCTTCCTCTCCCCCCCACCCCCTTGCTGGGAAAGGCTGGTGAGTCACTACCCGAAGGAGTAATTCCCCCGAGGTGCTTCCTTAAACTCCTAGGCCTGATAGTCAGTGTCCAGTGATGCTAGCTCCCCCACAATGTGAATTTCTCCCCTGCATTCCCACTGTGAATAAAGACTCTGTCTGTATATTGTTGGGAACTGTGAACTGCAGTGAAACAAATAAATATCATGTACAACGTCCCCTTTGTGTTTGACCCTTGTTTTCCTTAGCCTGAAAAGGAGACTGCTTTTTGTTACGGGACGGGCTCCCTCGAGGGCATTTGGGGAGTGAAGAGCGAGCAGGACCTCACCACTGCACCTCTGAGGGGACTGTGTGGGAACGAAATGGACAGGGGTCCTGAAGGGGGAAAGAATGGAGCAAGGAGCATAGACGGGAGCCCCAAAGAGAAGGGGGTTGGGTGTACAGTGTGTAGAAGGGAGCCTCACAGGGGACGGGAGCAAACAGGACTTGGCCGGAGGTGATGGATACCACAGCTGATGGGTGCTTTAAAAGAGGGATTGGTGGGTGGAGGAGGGAAGAGGTGACTGGAAAGTGAGTGGGGAATGAGACCCTCTTTCTATCCCTGTTCCAGTGGGAAACTCCTGGTTTGAAGTGATTTCTCTGGCTATTCTGGAGGAGGGTCTGGAGCCAGTTTAACTCAAAAGGAGTTTGACTGTAAAATCCAAAAGGGCCAGACGTGACGTTCTCCAGCCCAATGGGTGTTTTGAAAAATTGGAACCATTTCAAGTTGTGTGGCAAATGGAGCTGGGCATACCTAGCCCAAAGCCTCAGGGGTTTATTAAAATGGACGTCAAAATGGTGTGATCAAAAGGAAAGTTCCAGACTCTCACCATTCTAATTGCTGACAGCGGGTACTGTCTCCACTGGGTGAGCCCTTTCCATTTTTGTGGTACTGTTGGCATTGGAATGGCTCCATAGCACCCCTGTGGCAGCAGAGGAGCCCCAGAATACAGGTGGCATAACAGTTTCCAGTGGAAATGGCCTGTGCGTTTACCATTCACGACTGACATGGTAACATTGCTCTCAACAGAGCAGACCAGCTCCAGTAGCACAAGCCACAGTGTCACTGTGAGTACCCCTGCAGTGCTGCCCAGAGACATCGATAGCAGTGACCACATGCCTTCTCCTCCTCCCAGCCCCCCAGAAGTGTTAAAGAAAGGAACCAGAACAGCAGAGAACTTGATAACAATGATACTAGTATTTGGTTCAGACCTCAATCTCCCTACCGCTTCCCAAGCGGCCTGCTCCCCCCTCCCTAACAGTGATCTTCTTCCATGGACTGTCCCAAGACCTCGTCTAGCTCCAGTTCCGGTTCCCGCTGTAGCACCTTCTGCTGCAGCTCGGAGTAAAAGTCGACCCCCTCTGAGACGGAATGGAGAGGTTTGTCTCGCTGCTGGTAGTAGCTGCTCATCTGCTCCCTATGGTGCTGCTGCTGCATGAAGCACTGATGGTGCTGTGACTGGTCCTTGAAGCTCCCATCATAACCTTTGATATGGTTACGCTTGAACTCCAGCACAGTCTTGGTGTAAGTGTTGAGGGTGGTAACAGCAGAGGCCATGCAGCAGGTGAAGGAGGCCCAGGCCATGCTATGAGAGGGGAAGGAGAACAGCACATGCAGTGAGGATCTTAATAAAGTCTTCCATTGTCAGAGAAGTATGATGGGGTCAAGAAATGAACCAGATGCATTGCAAGGAGCTAATGGCCTTCTGGAATACCAGGCAGAGGCCACTAACTGGAGATGGACATCAACTAGATAGACCAGAGCTGTAGCCCAGACCCAAACCATTCTAGCCCTTAAGCTTTATCCTGCCTCCATTACCCTTCCCTTCCCCCTGAACAATGGAGTAAAATGTTGCTAGAGTCATAACATATGGTAGAGAAGGGGGGTGGGGGGGGAAATGCCATAAGGAAAAAAAATGGATGCAGCGAGAGAAAATGACAGGAGGACGCTGGAAAATTTGCATCTGGAAAGCACGATCATGAGGCAGATCCCTTAGAATAATAGGCCAGCCAGGGAGATCCTGAGTATCTTGTTCATTTTGCAGTCCTCAGTTACATTAACCACTCTCTATGGCACCTGTTTGACACTTTGTTTTGTCTTGGGGCAGGTCTATACTAACCCCCCAAGTCGAACTAAGGTACGCAACTTCAGCTACGTGAATAACGTAGCTGAAGTTCGAAGTACCTTAGTTCGAACTTACCTCGGTCCACACGCGGCAGGCAGGCTCCCCCGTCAACGCCGCGGTACTCCTCTCGTCTAGCTGGAGTACCGCAGTCGACGGTGAGCACTTCCGGGTTCGACTTATCGCGTTCAGACAAGACGCGATAAGTCAAACCCAGAAGTTCGATTGCTCGCCGCCGAACTGCCGGGTAAGTGTAGACCTACCCTTGTTTTCAAATAGCTTTTGATACGGTCTTTTCGTAGGATCATTACAGAAAGAAAATAACCCTTCAAATTCAAGTTAGCCAATATTACGTACCTGGCAAAAAAAAAAACCTAAAAATAAAAAACTTTGTATATGTATCTAGGTTTGAAACTGCAGGATTCGCCAAGGAATAAATACTCAGGACTCATCATAGATCACTGAGGATACTGCCCAGCATGCAACTGCAGTTAAAATGAAAAATGGCATTTTGGAGAACGTCATAACAGACAGAACAATGTTAATCATTTGTGTTCATTTTTGATCACATTATTGTAAGACAGAGCTGAGACTAAGAAGCTCCACATCAGGGCAGCAAGGCTTGCCGAGATGAAATATGTAAACAAGATTATTTAGAATGGCAGAAGTGAGGGACTTGATCAGAGAAGAGGTTAAGAAGGGCACAGTGAAAACTGATCAGGCCATCTTTTTTATACTGTCCCATACTTTGACCTGGGATTGATTTGAAGTCCCTTGAAGTTAATGGCAAGTAAACTTAAAACCAATGCAAAAAATACTTCACACAGTAACCAGACAGTCAGTGGAATACAATGCAGCCAGAGGTCCAAAGCCAAACATTGCAACTAGATTTAATAAGGCCTGGATCATTTTATGGCCAATAATGTAGTTCTGATCATCTAATCTCATGCGTCAAGCTATTAGCTGATCAGTGTCTGGGTCAGGAAAGAACCTTCCTGCTTCCCTCCTAGGCCTGCAACATAGCACCGTTGGCAGATGCTTTTATTGGAGTTCTGTGTTCCTCCAAAGCACTAGGTATCGGCCACTGCTAGAAGAAGGATCCTAAATTTAACGCATCAGTGATCTGGTCAAGTCTGAAAGGTTTTGTATTCTGGTTGTGTCCCTCAATCCCAGAGTTTCCCAACACCTCTTTGAGCCACACCCACAGACTCACAAAACACTATTATTGGGTCTACATGTTCTCTAGCGCTATGCCTATTTCCCTCTTAAATAGGTGGCTCCTGTTATCCTGTGGAAGAGACAGTGTTCCCTCTGACTTATGACTGTATATGGACAGTAGTGAGCAGTAGACACTGTGCTCAGTATCTTGGACGCACCAGTACCAGCTTCCTTAATGCATGTTCGCTACACTTATGAGGATCTTCTTGCACTGTGCATAAATGGTGATGGAACTTTATAGAGCTATCATGATGCTATATATGGAGAAGTATGTTGGATTTAGCATTAAGGTGGCTATGGTCAGGACTACAGACTCATAACTGCAGAAAAAGTGTTACACTGACTAATGTGAGCAACAGGAAGACCAGGTGGAAGGTGGCAATGGAGACAGATTGTGAAACCACAGGAGAGGAGGGATTCTGGTGAATCATTTCGACAGAGCGCCAGGCACTGTAGTGTCTAGGCATGAGTTTACAGACAAAATGCAAAATAACACCTAAACCGTCCATGTTGGTGGGTTCAGATGGCCATGTGGGATGTGATGGGAGGCTGAGCCCTAAGCTTGCCGCTGTTTATATGAAAATGCGGGAGTGTGTTAGTTTTATGAGCAAACCATGATGAAATGGAGAGGATGGATGAATCCAATTCTAGAAAAACGCCTGGTGGTGAAGGTCAGGGCACTTTAGCCCACAGCTCTAGGTGGTCGTCAGATCTCACAAGCTCAGCAGGATTGGGCCTGGTTGGTATTTAAATGGACTATGCAGGGAACATTGGGAAATTAATTTGGTGATGCTTGCCCCTTTGATTCAGTACTAAGCCTGTGCCCTAGCATGCTGTCGGGGGCACTGTGCTGCTGGAGAAGTTGGCTTTTAGGTTACGTCTGCACTATGAACTAAGGGGTATGATTTCCCCTACTCGTGTACACATACTTGCACTAACTCTCATTGTGCTATCATGAGTATAAATAGCCGTGTAGCCACAGCAGCACTGGCAGCAGCAACAGAGGCATGACTGAACTGTGCTGAGTCATACCCACCGGTTTCAGGTGGGTCTGTACGCACGGCTCAAGCCTGCCTCTGCTACAGATACCAGTACTACCGCGGCTACACTGCTATTTATACTCGCGCTAGTTCTCATTGCGCTAGAGTGACTATGTGTACATGAGCAGGGGAATCATACCTCTACCTCGTAGCATAGACATAGCCTTAGATATAAATACATGTAAAAGAGAGACCTTCACAATACGGTCATTAAAGGCCCCATGGCACCTTTTGGAAACTAGCCAGTTCCTGGCCAAACGTCAGTTTGCATAATTACATTTAGTTTCTGTTCATTCCCCTGGCAGTCTCAGGTGGACAGTGTTCTTTTCTTTTCCTAAAAGGAGAATTTAGGCTGAATACCAGGAGATATTTGGTAATCAGAGAAATGAAATGTAGGGCTGAAAGAGACCTCAAGAGATCATCCAGTCCAGCCCCTGCACTGAAGGAGAGCCATGTAAACCTAGACAGGTGTTCATGTAACCTGTTCTTACAAACCTCCAGTGGTGGGAAATCCATGACCACCCTTGGTAGCCTATTCCAGAATTTAACTACCCTTATAGTTAGAAAGCTTTTCCTAATATCTAACCTAAATCTCCCTTGCAGCAGATTAAGCCCATTACTTCTTGGCCTACATTCAGTGGACAAGGAGAACAACTGACCACTTTACATATTTAAAGGCTGTTATCAGGTCCCCTCTCAGTCTTCGCTTCTCAAGACTAACAAGTTTTTTGTTAACTTTCCTGATAGATCAGGTTGAAATAGGGAGGTCTATTAAACTGTAGGATAGTTTCTCAAGGTAAGGGGTGGAAGCTCCATATCTTGGTTCAATCAAAATTGGACTGGACAAAACTCTGGGGAATATATGTTTCAGGGAGCAATCCTGCATTGAGTCAGGGGAGTGGACAGGATGTGACCTAGCTAGACATCCTCCATCCCAGATCTATTACGTTAACCATGTGAGGCAAGGGTTGAGGCAAACACCTAAGGATCACAGAGAAGCAGCACTGGCGAAGCCATACTGGAGCTGTCTTCAGGGGTAAGGGGCTAAGTAGGAGGGTGCTGGAGAGGTGGACTGTGACTGAAGCCTACAGCCATAGGGATGTGGACAGCCTCACAGTTCACGTACTAGAAAGCCCAGCCATAGTCCCACGAGTGCGGTCTCCAGTCCTCTGGCCCCAGATTGACAGTCGCTTGGAAGACTTGTGAGTACATCATGTGAGCCACCATCCCCAGCAGGCCTAAAGCAAGAGGACAGGAAGGCAAAATTGTCACAGTGGAGGCCAGGGCAGCTGATTTGTTCTTCTGTCTAGGAACTAAGGCTTAGAACCAAATTCATCCTTCCAATCAGCAGGTTCAGCAGCTAAATGATCTCCACCCTTGGGCCCTGTTCCCCCACCCTGTGTCATCATCTCTCCTCTGATTCCCCATTATTCTCCCCAACTCTGCGCATTTCCTTCTCTCTCTCACTACCACATTCTCTCCATGGCCCCTTCCCCTTCTGCCCCCCGATTGACACACTGAGGCTAATGAATGTGTGAGGTCTTGGCAGCACTTTCTTCCCTGAAGGACTTCTTGAACCCTTTCCTTGATGAGTTTCACTCCCTGCCCTGGGCCACTCATGCTGCCACCCAAGAATGCCTTCATGACCCCATGCCTGCACTAGGGCACCAACCAGACAGCACAGAGGAGACAGCAGCGAAGGCATTGAGCTTCAGCCCGCAAACCGGATTCCCAGTATACAGCATTTCTATCAGCAGCAGGATGAAACTAATGAGCAGCAAACTGATGTAGACCATCTCCGACCCCAACGACAGCCACAGGATTCCTGCCATGAACCAGAGGAAAGAAGAGACCTCTCAGAGTCAGCACAAAATAGGGTCATGACCTGCCACAGCCCTCCTGACCCTGACCCCCCAAAGGATCCCCATCATAAACTGGGGAGAGAGAAACAACAAGGAGTCTGGTGGCACCTTAAAGACTAACAGATTTAAGGTGCCACCAGACTCCTTGTTGTTTTTGTAGATACAGACTAACACAGCTACCCCATGATACTTGACACCATGGGGAGAGAGAGAAGACTCCAGACATTCCCCACAGCCCGCTGAGTAATGCAGAGTGAATACAAACATCGGCTAAAATGGCTATTCTGCAGGGACGACATTCACCCCTGTGCAGATGGCCTGAAGAGGATGTATATACCACGTAAGCCTTCGAATTAGGGTTTAAATGATATACATAGGTCTTGTGTGGATCCTCTACACAGGTACATCTAGGGCAGTTGAGTAGACTCAGAAAAGTCAGGAGATGACCTTATACACAGGGGTCCTGTAACATCTCTGTTCTGGGATCGCCTGTCTCCCAGTCCCCTGCTCTAACCACCATTACTACTAATAGACACCCTAGCCCTGAAATTGAGCTGTACCTTTCACTGCAAGGGAGGGGGAAGGTGGCTTTAGGACTGTCCAATAGCTCAAATTAGCCAGAGTCCAGTGAATTTCAGCTACACTCCCTCCTTCTCCCAACATACCCACCTCTGGCATGACCCTATGCCAGGAGCTATAGGGGAGAATGCAACATAGAGCCCCTATGCCAGCCCTATGCCACCCAAGGAGTCCCCTCCCCCCACTCTCTCACCCCTTCACACATTTCCAGGTAGGGAGGACCAGTTGTTTTCCTGAAATGAAAAGGGGATGGAATGCAGCCAAGATTTGGCACCCCATCTCCAATTTTATATTGTACTATATAATAACAACAGATGTGGCTATTGTATTAAATAGGAGATACACTGTACGCTACACTAACTTCCATGGACATTATTCTGCTCTCCTACAGGATGTTCTAAGCTACTCCAATTATATAAAATATTATGGATACTAATTGGGATCTGTACAAGACCATCTGAAAATCAAACATTCGGGAGCCCTGTTTCATCCCCTGTGCAATTAGCAATTAGTTTGGACTGTGATGGAGTTTGGAATCTTAGCAGGTGACATCACAGTGTCTTGACAGGTGACATCACAGTGGCATCTGGGAGACCAGGGATGCCAGTTCCAGAAGCTTCTTTCAGCCTTGACTAAATAACAAGGCTCGAACAGGATTGCCTTTGAGCACAGAAGCTGAGCTCCTATGCATCAGGAGTCTGGCTTTGAGCCAAGAACGTGAGTGCCAACTCCCTGGAGCTGGTGGAAGGTGATTGTATGCGGAAAGACTGAACTGCCTTGTAAGCCTCGAGCTAAGGAGGGCTCAAGACTCCAATTGCCCAGCTCCTCCCTGCTACTCCTCCAGTGAAGGAAAAGTGATCTCTGGGTTGTCTCCAAATAAGCCATATAGACCCAATGCAGGAGGAGTTCAAGGTGAGCTTGGAGACTATTCTCCCTATTCTACAGTTCAGGTTCTGATAAGGAGCAGGAAGCATCTAGTTATACTAAGTTCTTCCATAACTGTTTCTGGATATCATTTTCCATTCTGTAAGTTCACAAGTAATTCCCACTCCTGGTTTTGGTCCATCTGTTGTCGAGTTGACTTAGCCTGTAGTTCTACCTGTTGTATTTAAATGACAGTTATTAATTATTCTAACAAGCTTTCTGCCTGTTCCTTTAGAGCAGAAGGGAATCCTATTGTAAGGAAGGATTGAGCCTAGTAGTGGATCATGGATAACACATGCTACTCTGTTAAAACTAATTAATACAGAAAGACTAGGAAGATGACCTTGTGCTTGAATAATGTATCCATGCAAAGTTGGTTGGGGGATAGGCAAAGCACAAACATTTAAGTTACCCTGTAGAAATAGCTCCCATTGTGACTACAGGTCAGTTTTTAACTAACAAGTGCCATCAGTAAAAAAACAGATTTGTTATTCCCAAGGAGAACAGGGCACTCTATTATTTATTTAGATGTATATATTAATATAACAGGCTACATATCCCAGGGTCTGAGCGCCGCTGACACAAGTTGCTAGAATAAAGATAAAACGAAACAGCATCTTACCCCCTCCCTGACCTCCACCAGAACTCAATCCCTCTACAACAAAACACAAAACTCCCCTCCCTTGCACAGATCCTAACCCACAGCAAACTGCCCTGAACAGCAGCCCACGGAAATCTGGCCACAGGCCCTGTCTGTGTGTTTTAGATTTTGACACCTACAGTAGAGATTTCTGACTCAAATTAAGAATGAAAGCAGGTTTCTTGCATGCTTCTGGGAGAGTAGCTTGTTAATACTAACAATTCTTTGCTCACATATTCTTCGTTTCTCTTCTGTAGCTTTCAAGGTGCATTACAAAGGTGGGGTATGCATTATTAGCACCATTTTAAAGAGAAAGTAGGACCAACATTTTCAAAAGTGGATACCCCAAAATAGTGGCCAAACAGACACATAGGATGAAATCCTGGCCCCTCTGAAGTCAATGGAAGTTTTGCCATTGGCTTCAGTGCGGCTAAGATTTCACCCTTAGGGTCTAATTTACAGATATTCTGATCACCCACAGCTCCTATTCAGCTGGAGTAATGGATGCTCAGAATGACTGAAATTCAGAACTCTGGTGTCTCAGGTTGGGACCCAAAAACGAAAGCACCCAAAATGGTGGCCATGTTTCAACTTTTTGACAGAAGTGACTTGCCCAAGATCATATGTCAAGTTGATGGTACAGCTGTGTTACTATTTATCACTTACATTGACTGCTTGTGTGCATTGCGGGTTATGACCAAGATTGGACATGCTGAAACGCAGCAAAAAAGGCTGTTTTTGTCACATTGACAGTTGGGCTGACAGCAGGAAGTACCAGAAATTATGTGAGGAAGGTTGAGATTTCTAGCTTTTGGGGGCTGATGCCAGATGTTTTGGGTAAACATTTGGGGTGAAATCCTCAATACTTTGACTTCAGTAGGCCAGGATTAGGTGCCTACAACACCCTCTCAACCTGCTGAAGTTCCCCGATCTCTAGAAGGTGCATTGGGCAACTCTAGTGAGAAAAAGAAGAGACTCATTCTTACCTCTCTCTGCGGGGGGTGAAAGCTCAATGAAGCTACGACATTTCTCATCTGAAATACAAACACAATCAAGCTCAGATTATATGGATTCTCAAAAGATGGTAGGGGAGGATAGAGGGGAAAAAATTCCACCTTAATGCCTCTTTCATTTCTCAAGCTTGCAGGCTCTACCTATTTTAAGGCCTTCTAGAGTCTGCTGTCTTTCTGACCAAAGAGATGGTTGCTTTGATCTGTTGTGGGAGTCCAGTGGGGAAAGGTAGGGAAAGAAGGACAATGGTCTGTCTGTCTAGTGCAGATGGGGCTCTTATGAGAAAGCTGGTATACAGTCACAAAAAATTAAATACAGCTGAGTATAAGTAAATAGCTATACATTCAAAACATTAAAAGAAAGCTGTGATGAGATAAAATGCTCCTTTGCTGTCATAGAAGTTCCGCAAGCTACTTTAACTCTATAACTTCACCCCTTCCAGCTTCAGCTTGGAGATCATAAACTTTCTTCCATCCCACTCTTCTATTTCATGATTTTCCAGTATCGGCTACAAACCCTCAAACTCATCACATGGCCCGTGCTCTATTTGCCTGCCTGTTATTTGCAAACACACCAACTCTTTTCCTCTTACTCTCCATAAACAAACCAGAGAGGTGCCTCTTGTCCCACTCCAACTTCCAACTATCCTAAGAAAACCACAATATATATCCTAATCTCCATAGAAACTCCATCAACCTTTTTTCACTATGAGACATGGAACTCTAATCTACCCCATCCACTTTCTATATATAGACTAGAAACTCCATTATAATTGTCATATATAACTTTCTGATGTGAGTCAGAGACATTGCTCCAGGCCACTTATCAACTGCCATCCAATCCACTCAACACACACAGGCCAGAATACCCTAGGCACCAAACTAAGCTAGGCCATTGCTTATTGACAATGGCAGAAAGATGAGCATTGACTCTGTAAAATGTATGATGTTCTCATTAATTGGCCAAGATTTTAAAAATATCCAGAGTTGTATCCAGTCTCTGCTGCACCCATGAAGGAGACTAAACTCCACCAGGGCCCTCATGCCAGTTATAATCTCAGCTGCATTCATCAGGTTGATTCCAGCCTCTGCTAAGGAGCTCATGTAACAGGCACCAGAAGAGCCAGCTCCCACTTAGGACATGGAATTTTCACTTGCCACTGGTCCCGCAGAAAGTAGCTCACAGCTCCTTCCCAATGAAGGATGTACCTTCTCTTAAGAACAGGACACCCCTTCTCCAAAGGAAACTCTGACTCTCCCCTCGATACAGAATCACTATCACTTCCCTACCCTTAGGCATATACAATCCAAAATTGCTTTGGCCTCCATATCCCAGTGCAAACTTTTGTCTAATCCGCACATCCATTATAATCCCTAAAAGTCTCTTTTAGCATGACGGTTTGCCAGAGTTCTCTTTCCCACTGAATCTCCCCTGGGCAGATTATTTCCCCCCATATATATTAACTTGCCTTTTTTCTCCAGCTGAATCTCATCTTGTTATTTTCTGCCCACAATTCTAATCTCTGTAAACCCCTTGTATTATATCTTTCCTCTCAGTGGTGTTCAGGATTCCTTCCAGCTCAGTACCATCTGCAGATTTCATTAACTCACTGTTCACTACCTCATCTAGACTTTAATGAAGTTATTAACAACACTGACCCTAATGCTGAGCCGTGCAGTGGCCCCATGAGACACCTTCCCAAAATTCAATACTTTGCAGCTGATCATAATCCTTTGTTTCTGGTCCTTCAACCTGCTGTCAAAACACATAACAGGGGCTATATGCAAGCCAGTCTGAATTAATTTTGAGTCTGATTTCATGAAAAATTGTACCAAATGCATTACTAAAATCCAAATCTATCAGATCTCCTTCCCTTCATGCCTCACTGTTATTCCAGTATTGCCAAGAGGCCCATTACATCTCTGAAAACACCTTGAACTCAGTCGAATGATGCAGTCTCTTTCCCAACTCATACCCGCTATTGCCATGGAAATTAATCACAGCTTTAAGCATTCCTACCTAAGTGCACCCTGTTCTGAACCATTCCTGACAATGCCAAGAACAAACCAGTCCTCTCAGCAAGACCTGAGAGTGACTGAAGCTTTTTTTTTTATTGTTGCCCTGCTTTTAATTTGTAACCTCTCTGTTTTCAAGCGCTGATCCCAGCGGATCGCAGAAGGAGCAATAGTGCACAGAATGCCTTCTTGAACTGACAGGTTCCATTGTTTCAGAGTAGCAGCCGTGTTAGTCTGTATCCTCAAAAAGAACAGGAGTACTTGTGGCACCAAGGGGTTGTAGCCCACGAAAGCTTATGCTCTAATAAATTTGTTAGTCTCTAAGGTGCCACAAGTACTCCTGTTCTTTTTGAGGTTCCATTTTGAGTGCCTTTGAGGAAGGGGGAATGTTGGCTGGCCCAGAGGAATGGGGATGGGCTAAAACGCCTTTCATTTCTCTTTTATGAGTTTCAACCTAGCTGTTTGCTGCCTTTGGAGCTAGTTCTGACCCAAATATGCCAGGCCATAAAGACTGGCTTGGGGAGAATTCCCCCAGAGCACGTGTGACATAGGGCTGACGAAAGCCACAGCACAGGAGTTGAGGTAGGGGAAGCAAGTTGGGGTGATAGGAGGCATGTTCAAAGGGCTCTGGGCTGCGGAGCAGTCCATAGGCAGCCTGGGTAAGGTTGCCATAAATTAGACCAGCACCACCAGTCTAAATTGCACTGGGGGCCACACCAGCCCCCCAGCACAGGCAGAATTTGGTTGGCACAAAGGTGGCATGAAGCGTATTGCCGGTGCCAAGCATTCAAAAAGCATGAATGTGTCGTCCCACCCCAAACCACGAGCTTCTAAAGATAAGCCTCTTGTTCATACTCCTTCTGTCATTTGCACCTTTGGGGTTCACGTTTGCAAGCTTTTCTCCACAACTCTGAGGGAGAGAAACTTTGGGGGGGGAGGGCGGTTTAAAATGACAGTTGAAATTCTCTCTTATTCACAGGACTCCAGGGCCTAGGGCTTTAAGAAAAACACCTCCTGTCATTTTACTTGCAATGAAAACGGCGACAGTTGTCAGCACTGCATAAAGCCATCACCCTGTCTCTCACCGCACAGGCTCCATCCCCTACTGAACGTGACATGAACTGGGGAGGGGGGGGAGAAGGGGGGAGGGTGTTACTCCAGTTCATGCTGGGACAGATGTGAACATTACAAAACCACCACCCCCACAAATAGCACTAAGGTGCCTTTTGTTAGCAGTCTCATCTTGTCTCCAAGACCCATTCAACTCCCATACATCATTCCCCTCACTGAGGGATGAAGTATGGTGGTGTGGTGTGTGAGTATGTGTGGGAGGCGGGCACTGCCACTGCCCCAACTCTATCTGTTCTGCAAGTATGGAGAAGGCATCTTTCCCTAGTGTTGTCTGCCTGGCATCTGTCATTGACACCAAAGACATTTTGCTGTAATAAGAATGAGGCTGAAGCTGCCTTGATGGAGATGCTACCTGGCCCTTCCATGTTCTCCTCACACGAAAGCCACATGCCAGTGTGGAAGTATCGGAAGGCGAAGCGGTCGTCCCCGGTCTCCCAGCTGTAGTGCACTACGTCCTGGGATGAAGAATTGCTAGCACCTCCGTCCGCGGACACGTGCACACCGATGCACTTGGTGGCTTTGCCCTTTCCACACAAAGGCTTGGGCACCTTCTGGGTCCCAACACACCAGTAGCTGCCAAGCAAGGCTGTGGTAGAGAGGCTGAGAGCCAGCAGATTCAGGACAACTGCCAAGACAGCACGACGCCAAGGCAGGATCTTCAGCAGTTCCATCTGCAACAAACAAACATGACGGACTCACATACCAGCCATGCATCTCTCTTACTGTGCACAATGTCCCAGACCCTCACCGGTATGTAGGCTTCTCACTTCCACTGATTTCACTGGGCATCAGAACCTAAACACCTTTGAGTAGTTGGGCCTATGTCGTATTCCACCAAAATATGTGTGTGTGTGTGTGTGTGTGTGAGGGCAAGGAGGAGAAACAGGACAGTCTGCCATCCTCAGGGCAGCTTATTACCTCACTCAGGAATGAGAAACCGTTTCCTGACAGCATGATCCCTTAGATTGTGGAATAGTCACTTGAGGGAAGTGGTTGCTTCATCCATTTAAAATTGGACTGAACAAAGGAACTGGCGAATATACTGTAGGGAATAATCCTTCAGTGACAGAGTGAGTGGAGTTTCTCTCTTCAGAGAAAGCTGTGTGCACAAAACTGATGAAATGATCAGGGCCATGAAATACAAGCACGTCTGAGGTGGCATGCCGCAGCAGTTAAACAGCTCCCAGAAACACCATGCAACAGCTTTGAACAGGAAGTGAAGAAGACTATTGTATCCCAATAAAATGCAAATTTGCAATGCCATAGCACATTTTATTGAAGGGTTGCAAAGCATTTTTTTTTTCAGATATGGTTAATTAATTTAGCCCCACATTGTGAGAGGTAAATATGATTATAGTCATTTTGCAGATAGGGAAACTGAGGCAGAGAAAGATTACATGAATTAACCAACACGCCGGATCAGAGACTTAGGAAGAAAACCTAGGAATCCTGACTCCCCAGCCTGACTCCCCACTAGACTGCACTTCCCACACAGGAAGCTACAAACCCTTAAATCAGAATCTGAGTCGGGCACTGGGATGGCAATACCCCTGCTCTTGCAAAAAGTGTAATGAAGATCTTAAATGACAATAAAAGCCTTTTCATTTGAAAGCCAGCAACTCCAAGTATGTCAGGGCACTGGCCACTTCTCACTCTGAGGGAAGAGTACCCCTGCTGAATAACTCACACCACTTCCCCTAGAACCCTGGGGTTTTCTCTTGAGGTCTCCCAGCAAAACACTCCCTAGAGCATTTAGATGTTATCTGTCCATCTGCCAACTTCTCATGTAATCGTTTCAGTGCCTTCTTCCATGGGGCACCCCCAACGCGTGATACATCCTTGCTGAGTTCATTGGCGTGGCTCCTACCTTTCCATATTTAAGATTCTCCTAAAGCCCTATTTCAGCTGTGCTGCTCACCATGGATAGAGTTGATGGTATATAAATTGCCTCCCACTGTTCCCTTTCCCCATACCTCTGTCTGCTTGTCTGTCTGCCTTTACACTGCGAGCTCCCCAAAGCAGGGACCACCCCCTTTTCAATGTTTGGGAAACACCTGGCCCATCTGGGGCACAACCAAAAATAAATAATATGTGAGATGTAATGCTGCTTCACTCGTGATAAATTACAAGGACATGGCCCACGGAGGCCACAACCCCTGCTTTGTTAACCAGAAAGCTGATCAGTAAAGGACAGTGCCTGAGATGGAGCAACTTTCCCTCTTGGGTGGGAGTAGGATTGACTAGCCTTGCATCACACAGAAGGCCTTGTCTACACTGATGGCAGCATGTAGGGTATGCATAGCTGCAGGCTGCAGTGAAAACCAGGCTGCATCCACACTGCAGTTTGTAGCTACACAAGGCAGTGAAAGACCTGGAGGGATTGGGGCAGTGGGGAAAGGCTTCAGCAGCAAGGAGCCTCCCACCTGCCAGAGCCTTTCCCCTGGGTCGGAGTTTTTCCCTGTGGTGGGGAAGGGCTGCATTGAGGCAGCAGGACACTACAGTGTAGACGTGGGAGGCACTGCCTGGGCATAGAGAGACTGTGTGGAGTACATACCCTAAGGTTCTGGCATGTCTTTACACACCTAAACAGTGCCTTGTCATCTACACTGCTGTGTATACCTGTGGTAGGAGGTGTGCAAAGTCCGTACTCTATATGCTGCCGTAAGTGTAGACATAGCCTGAAATAGGGTGACCAGACAGCAAGTGTGAAAAATCGGGACAGGGGGTGGGGGATAATAGGAGCCTATATATGAAAAAGACCCAAAAATCGGGACTGTCCCTATAAAATTGGGACATCTGGTCACCCTACCCTCAAAACACTGTGTGCCCAAGTAGAATGCATTGAGCAAAGGTAAGAAACTACCCAACTACTGAGAATGCCCTTCCCTCTCCCTTCAAAGTCTATTGCTCAGGCTTCTGTTTCCTGTGAGCCACTCCAGTGACAATTACTCAGCAACCTCCCGGTTCAATTACACTGGAAAAGGTGTTGCCAACACTACAGAGTTACTCATTTAATCTCTAATCTGAAGGCATGTTTGACCTTACCGTGTCCAGGAAGCAGATGATTGCCACCTGCACAGTATTAGTTAAGGGGTTATGGCCTGGGCTGATGGGAAAAAATCTCCAATAACACTTTTTTCTGATGAAGATAAGCTTGTCAAGAAAACAGTTTTTTTGTGGAAAGTGTCTGCTTTCCTCAAAAATATCCAGTTTTTCATCTGAAAGCAGAAAACCTGAAAACTGAAGATTTTCCACTGAAAACCAAGTTTTCCATTTTTCAACATTTTTTGGTCAAAATTATTCTGTTTGCAGTTGCTAAAAAGGGATTTAGCATCAATCATTATTATTAAAATTTTGTCAAACACAATTTTTTTTATTTTCACCTAAATTTTCCATGAGAAAAAAATTCTGTGCAGCTGTGTTTGTGTCAGTATCTTAGAATCTGCATAGTTTTCTAAATACCTTAGGACTGGGGCAAAGGGAAGAAGAAGGGGCAGAAAATGGTGGTGCCAGGAGGATGTAGAAGAGCGGAGAGAGAGGACATTGGTTAGGAAAGTGAGAAGGCAACCTGAATTACTTCCTTAGCCAAACACACCCGGAAAAGTTTCCTTCTACGAAAGCCAAGCACTTACAGCCAGTAACTGGTCAGACAACTTCTGGCATCTGGAAAGCCTCTGCAGCTAACCTCCTGAAATAAAGGAGAGTAGAATTTACCTTGCTGGTGGGTCTTTTACGTGCTGTTGTTTAGTTTGTGGACGGCACAGCTGTACGACTCACTCTTTGCCTTGCTCTCTCCTGCATCTACCAGCTAGATCTTTCAAGAAAACAAACTGCTTCTAAAGCTCTTTCTCCTTCATCTCCTCCCAACCCCACCCAGCCCCCCAACACCCTGTGATTATTAAATGCTCTCCCTTCCAGCCGGCAGCTGTTTTGAGCTGTTTTATAATCCACAATGCAATCATGGCACAGCTGTTCTGGGAGATTATACGGGAAGAGATTGGTGTTGCAGGCTGGGATTAAGCGCAAAGAGTGACCTGCATTCACTGAGGAAAAAGTTTCAATATAATACAGAGGAGACTTCAATTACTCCCGTCTGATGGATGTTTGGTAGCCTGTACAAAATGAGTCGGAGTTTCTCAGACTAATGCCAAGCAGCCCAAAAAACTACAACCACCATTGGCACTAGCTGGTCCCATTGTTGGCAATCACAACAGAGTGGCAAGGGACTGAATGGGCCATGGAGGCTGAGCTCCCTTGATCCTTAGAGTTGTATTCTCCTTGGCAGAACTGAGGCATGTGAAAAGGAAAGGGCAGCCGTTCTGAGGATGGAAGATTTGAGACGCCAAGGGACATCAATCCAGCACCTCTCACAACCTCTTCAAATTTTAATTAAAAAGAAATAACTGGACGGCAGGACAAATATGTCAGACAGCCACTAAAGGGCATAGGGGAGCTCTCACTATGACGCAAGGAACTTGTTTTAAGTTTGAACTTCATTACAGAAAAGTGCCCGTAAGGCATCCCATGCACACCTGCCTATCTGGGGCCAGGAGGAGTCCTTGTACAGAGTGGGCGAGTCTCCCAGTGTTGTTCAGGGTTATCAGAATGGATTGTGTGTGTAGCTAGCCTACTCTCCTGCCTCTTGTCATACCAAACAAAGCAAGGGTCTATCTAGTCAGGGGTCCTGGTTCTTATAAATCCCATTGCTAGATGCTTGAGAGGTAGATATAAAATAATATTTGGCACTTGTATAGCACATTCCACCTCCAAAGTACCACACTGACATTAATGAAAATGCCTCACAATGCCCCTACATGGTCAATAGCATAATTTCCTCCTGATCACTTATATCTTGAAGCAGGAGGACTGATAGCCCTTAGATCACTTTAGTCCTAGCTATTGCATAGGCTACTCTTATGTATATATTTCTTTCTGAGGTTAATTGGCAGCAGTACTGAATGTTTGGACACCGCAACCACTGTTCCCAGATCCTTATATTAATTACTGAGTTGTGTTGAATACAGATTCCTCTGTCTGAGTGAAAAGGGTGAGGCCCATATATAATATTAGTTAGGAGTCTTCTTCTAGTGAGAGAGGCAATTCTTTCCATAGGCCAAAACATTCAAATGGGAGTATGTAAAGTTTGGCGTCTAAATCCATATTTACAGACCTAAATAAAAGTGGCCTGATTTTCAGAGAGGGCGAGTCTGAGAGGTGTTCAGCCCCTCTGAAAATCCTCTTGCAGGCCCTGAGTCAACTGTGGAGCATGCACCTAACTTTTAGCATGTTAGTAGTCCCATTATAGTACATGGAACAACTCACATACTTAAAGTTGGGTACATGTTTAACTCTATTGTGGAAGTGAGTTCTAATTTATGTGTCTAGATATGGATTTTAGGTGTATACCTTTAGGTGCCCATGTTTAAAAATACTGGACTTAAGGGCCAGAATTTTGAAAATATTTAGGTGCCTAAACAGCTTTAAAAATCTGGCCTTTAGTGTTTTTGATGGCGGTAGAATTTATCCTACCACCAGGTGGCAACTTTTCCTCACTCTTTTCTCACTTGCTGCTCTAACTTGTATCACATGTATCAGGGAAGCAACATCCCAGTTTATATCCATCTTCTCTCCCTTTTTTGTTCTGTCTTCTTTCAAAGAACAAATTCGCTTTCTGAGTCTCTCTCTCTCTTTTTCTGTGTTAGGTTTTTCTAAGGTGCTTATCTCTATCAGCTAAGCCCCAAAGAATTATAAAACCATGAAAATTATCAGTGGCAAAGATCTAATAGGTCACCTGCTCCATCTTTTGGCTAATGCCAGATTGCGCCCTGTACAGTATTTTCCAATGCTTCGCCAAGTCTCATTTCAAATATCTCAAGCAATGGGGTTTCCATCCGGAGATTATTCCACCATCCAGTAGATTTCAACCTTGGAAAATATTTCCTGATATTCAACCTAAAATCCCCTTAGCTCAATTTCATGCCATTGCTACTAGAAATACCCTCCCAGACATCCTAAACAATTCTGCTGCCTTAGCATGCCGTGGGGAGCACTGTTTCTTCCACAAAAACAATGAGGAGTCCGGTGGCACCTTAAAGACTAACAAATTTTTTTGGGCATAAGCTTTTGTGGGTAGTGGGTTTTTTACCCATGAAAGCTTATGCCCAAATAAATCTGTTAGTCTTTAAGGTGCCGCCGGATTCCTCGTTTTTGTGGATACAGACTAACACGGCTACCCCTCTGATACTTGTTTCTTCCAGTTTTCTCCTCTGGGTATCTGCAGCTTCACACCACTGACCATTTTAAAAGTTTCCTTTGCCTAGGGAAGTCAACACATGAAGCACTCTGACTTCAATGCAAGACACAATATTAATGCAACATCTTTGAGGAGATTTTTACATATACAAAAGTCAGGTATTTTAAAAGTTAAATTTCCCACAGCATTTTTAGCTTGGCCTCATCGCACATACACATTCAGGGTCAAATCCTGCAAGGAGGTGAGCACCCTCAGTGTCCAAGGACTACAGTGGGATTTGAGGGTGCTGAGCATCTAACTGGATAGCACCCTAAGGCAGTGATACTCAACCGGTGGATCTCAAGAGGTACATGGCTCTTCATAGCCCTGTATGTAGTTCTCTTCTGATGGGCAAGTAAGGGGTCATGTGACGGTCTGACATGGATTCTTCAGTTGCCCTGGGGGAAAATGGCAATATCAACAAAAACACGCACATTCACTCAGCTAAACTTACATAGACACACTTATACCCACAAACCATTCTCCAAGCTCCTCAGACATTACACCTCTGTATTACCTTCTACCTATAGCTCCTTCTTCTGCTTTTATATGAATAAAGTCCAGAGAAGTGGTCCCTTCCCTTAGTGACACATACACAGCGGATATCTCCGGGTGGTGGTGACATTAGAGCCGGACTTTTCAAAACCAGTGACAGACTGCAAATGCCAGATTTCTCCCTGAGCCCTAAATAATTCTACTCAGATTGAAACCTTTATTTAGCTCTTTGTATGTATGAATTAACTCTTACTTTGCAATGAACTAGTTAGGCATATGTTTGGATTCTAAATCCATTTAAAGGTGAATTTTTGTTTAAAACCATTAAAATTGGTTATACTGTTAGGGACACAAGCTCACTAACAGAATATACGTGTTGAATATACATCGTTTACACATTACAAATATATTTTAAAGGTGAATAAACAAGCTTTTCGCCTCTTAAGACCTGATTTTAAGTTCCTGCATTTCTTCTGGAAAAGGTTCTGTTTGCAGGGGAATTGTTTTTTCTTCATTTATATCTTTATGATTTTGACCTATTTAAGAAACACACAAGGTTACAGGAAACAAAGGAAAATTAAATGCAGCAGCCTAAATGTTCAGAATTCACTAGGGATGTTTTTGCCCTGAGTTCTAGATGCCCAACTTAAGATACCTTAAGGGATCTCAATTTACACAAAGCGTTGAGCACCTGCCTTCTTCAAATCGGGCCCCTTTAATGTGGCCCAGATTGGGCACCCAAAAATTGAGGAACCCCAAATCACTAGTCACTTCTAAAAATTTAGGCCAACATATAATATATAGGAAAAGAAAAAAAACAGTGTCTATAGCTCTATAGTTATATTAAATAAGATCCAGAGCTTGCTTGTGTGAGCAAGGCATTCAGATACTACAGTTGTGTGGGCCATACAAGCCCATAGACAGATAGATTAGATTAGGTAAGGTAAGCATTTATCTCCATCAGTTCTTTGGGGACAATACCCAAAATGGCAAGTATGAAAGAGTGGAAACATGCAACTATTCTTTTTCTTTCATTAAGCATTCATCAGTCATGAATCTCCAGGAAATTTGTCCAGCTGCCTTGAAATGTACCACATTTGTCATTTTGTTGATGGGTTAATTCTTTCTAAGCTTGCTAATTCATGCATTGTGTAATATGTCACAGAAGCTGCAGGATTTCCACTTTTGCAGAATGTCTCTCTTTGCATTTAGAAATGCTCTTAAAATTAATTGTTGACAGTTTTAGTTATACCTATTATGGGATCCCTTCTAAGAATAAATAGCCTCATGAACACCTAAACAGAGCAAAGAACTGTCATAGATTCATAGATTTTAAAACCAGAAGGGACAACTATGATAATCTAATCTGACCTACTGCATAACACGGACCATAGAACATCAGCCATTAATTTCTGAATCAAGCTTATAATTTCTGTTTGAGCTATAGCAGATATTTTAGAAAGACATCCGGTCTTGACTTAAAAGGACTGCAGGTGATGGAGAATCCATCACGTCCTTGGTAACTTGTTCCAATGATTAATTACCCTCACCTATCAAAACTTTGTGCCTTCTTTCTAGTCTGAATTTGTCCAGCTTCAGTTTCCAACCAATGGAACTTGTTATGCCCAGGGCCGGCTCTGGCTTTTTCGCCGCCCCAGGCGAAAAAGCCTCCGGCCGCCCCCCCCCGAGGGGGCGGCCGGAGCGCCGGGGGAAGCAGCGAGCCCCGGCCGGCGCGCGGCCCGCTCTCCCCCCCCAGGCGGCCAGAGCGCCGCGCCGCCGCCCCCCTCCAGGTGCCGCCCCCAGCACCAGCTTGGGTGCTTGGTGCCTGGAGCCGGCCCTGGTTATGCCTGTCATCATCTGTGCCACAGGAGATACAGAACCCTAAACTTGGCAGGTGACATGCAACAAAATGATTTTAAATATTTTATTTTAAATGCCACAAATAAATGCATTTTATTAGAGATGCTTAGTGTGAGCTAGCGGTCTAGCAGGGAACCCAAATTCCTG